AGGTTTCAAGCTGATTTCCGTCAATCGTGTTAAGATGAACACAATCCTCTTCACCTTTCCTCCCCCTTCTCCCCCATGTCCTAGTTTTGTTCCCTTGCCTTGTGAAGAAATTAGCCCCACAATCTGTTTCATAGCCTCAGCCAATGCAGTTCCACAGGAGGCAAGTAGACGGCGAGTGAGAGCAGTCAGTCTGTTGCCCTGTTATAGTCAGACACACACACGCACTCGTCCCGTTGGGAGAAATGCCTCATCTCCACTTGAACCCTCTCTCTTCCACCCACGTTAAAAATTACCCGTATGAATCCAGGAATTCTCTGAGTGCAGAGAAACCCATAATTTATAATAATAATCCTTGCATTTGATCTAATAATAATAATAATAATAATCCTTGCATTTGATCTAATAATAATAATAATAATCCTTGCATTTGATATAGCGACTTATCACATCTTCGAGACGCGTCAAAAGAGTTTCACAGAATACACTGTAAAGGGAATTGACTGCATATTTTGTGGGTGAAATGCAGCATTAGTATCCCACAAACAACCATGGATTATTTTTTCAAGAGATTATTACCCCTGGAAAAGCGATCCACCAATCGACTAACAACCGAGTTCCCACTTACTGCTGGGTAATCAAAGGCGTGTGGAGTAAGGTAACCCAGGTTTATACTGAATAGGTACAGTACTACCAAGACTTTATTGGGACAAGTGTTTCTCTCATTGTCCTGGCCAACAATCCACACATTAATTGGTCATCCACCTCATAGCTATTTGTATGACCTTGCTGGTACCAACAGCTGTGTGTCACTCCCCCAGACAATAATTAACGCCAAGCGCTTTGAAGTGCTTTTTTTTATATAGAGTACANTTTTTTTAAGTGCTATAAAATTGCAAGTTCTTTCATCCAGGATCTAGACTGTTCTCTAGTGTGGAAACCAATGGCTGGCACCACCCAAGACACAAACGTGACCTAGGTTCATAGACTCTATTCCTACAGTAATAATAATTATAATAATAATCCTTACCTTAGTGCCTTATAACATTATTGAGGTGTCTCAAAAAGCCTCACAGGATATACTATAAAGTGAATTGACTATATTTTGTGGGCATCACGCAGCAGCGCCAATTGCACCCAGCAGTGTCCCACAAATAGCCATGATGTGTACATCCCCAAGCAGCCAGTCTTCAACAAGTCGAGCAAACAATGCCACAGCAATTACTGCTGACGCTACATTATTAAAACCTTAAATATTGACAGGTGCAGTTGTTAAGAAAATACCGCCTACAGCTCTCTGTAGCCATCCCCGGAAATTAGAGAGAATGATTGACAAACTAATTCAACCTGAATATAACACAAGGATTTCCGGTAAACGTTGTCAACTGATTTACGGGTCGAAATTCATTCCAGCTGGGTTTAGATTTACTCTATTGCTCTACTGAAGCGTTCTGAGACGTCTCAGCGCCTTAATAAGCCGCTATACCAAATGCAAGGATTATTATTATTTCTTAGGCAAAGTGGAGGCAAACAGCAAGCAGCGTCTTGCGAAGAACCGCAAAGTGAACGAATATTTGGCGGGGATCGTTGGCCAGGTGACTGGAAGAAACTCCCTTCTGTTTTTGAACAGTACCGTGAGATGTTTAGCGCCATAATAGCTAAATACCTTATTTATTTACCCTTGATAAAACCACCAAATGTTTCCCCTCTATCTATCTATCTATCTATCTATCTATCTATCTATCTATCTATCTATCTATCTATCTATCTATCTATCTATCTATCTATCTATCTATCTATCTATCTATCTATCTATCTATCTATCTATCTATCTATCTATCTATCTATCTATCTATCTATCTATCTATCTATCTATCTATCTATCTATCTATCTATCTATCTATCTATCTATCTATCTATCTATCTACCGAGCATATTTTGTGATAATATCACTCCATTGTGCAACATTGCTATTTGTAACCTGTAATTGATTTGCTGTAGCTGTAACGAAACTCCTTTGCGTACTGTAATACCGAATGGACTGAAACAGAATGGCCCCACTGTTACAATAACTATATAAAATCTCAATACAATGCTCTACGTAGACATTAGTCTGGCCAGACAATGCTGCCTGGTTGGGCGGGTTCATACCCAACTGGGCCTGTGTTTGTGGTATTGTGCGTAAGAAAATATTTTTGGACGGGTGCCTAATTTTTAAAAAAAATAATTTAAACCTGCAAAACACGTCCCTCTAACCCTTTGAAGGCCTTTTTTTACACTGTTTCAAAAGTACTAACCTAAATTGGGCACTTTGCTACCCATAATCTGCGGGCAGCACATAATATTTGGTTACTTTTGGGCTAGTGTTTGATGGCTACAAACGTATATATTGCTTAGTTGAGTTCTGTGTTTGACTGTGAGAGTAGAGGAGGATACCTGGAGTCCAGGTACTTCATCAGTCACTTTGGTTGGGGGAAGAATTTTTTTATGGCGGTGGGGGGGTGGGGGATTGTGGTCAGCCAGAAAGGAAATGTGGAGACACATGCAGAAACCCTTCATCGTACTTAAGAGCGTCCGAACCAAACAGAGAACTAGAGGAGTGAATTCAAGGGGAAGGAGGAGAAGGGCACAGTGGGATGAGGAAGCTGGAGCGAGTGTGAAGCCATCTGCTGCAGGAATGTGAGATATCATTATTTTTGCCCCAGTTGCTGTACTTGCAACTTTCCAAGGCTGTTGCAGTGACATTGTGTCGGAGGGGGTGGAAGATGGAATAGGGAGGGGATAGGGAGGGGGGAAGCTTCCAATGAGAGCCAACGGGGACAGCAGACAATGATGTCCCTCCCATGTTACAATTTTAAAAATAAACCCGAGGCTGAGAATGTGTGTGGGTGGGAGTTGTCAATGTGCCAGGTGCTATGTGTAGGTAACGCAAAGCACCTCTGCAGTTTACTTTCTCTCTCTGGCTTCCTTCTGAGAATACATTAACAGGATGGCTTATGGATTATTAATACCAGGACCATTATTATTATATGGTGGTTCTCACCTTACTGCAGACCGAGTGACAGTGCAGTTGTACAGATGTATTGCGGTGGCTTCTTTCCGTCTTGCTATCTTGCCCAATTATTATTAATAATAATAATAATAATAAGGTGCTACTTCAAATGCGAGGATTATTATTATTGTTAACCGTTGCTAGCTTTTGCAGCCAACAGATCAGGAGGCAATTCACACCTCTAAACCATTTGACCCAAACAAGAACAATAGAACTTTGATCTTTGATCTGCATTGACCGACATATGTGGAAGAAAGTCTTTGTGATCTGCCGGCTGTTTGTTGAATTGGAGCCAAGATCACATAGTGTGTTAAAGTTGTGGGAAAAAAAACACCTGAAAGGTGTAGGACTGGATGCATTACTCACTCTCTGCCTGACTCACATGAAGACAGGTGTTAACTCTCACCCAGTGTGATCTGTCAATACGTGGAATTGGAATTGAGATCGATTGGGTGGACAAGAATCCCAAATACAAACCTGCTCATAATTCAGTGATAATTGGCAATGAGCCGCCAGCCTCAGAGGGACACTTCTGCCAGAAATGGAAATGTCAGACTCGTCCAATAACCCTTCACAAAATGAGGTTAATGTTAATAGTCAATAATCCCAGTTCCTCTACATTATAATGTTTGACCCAGCCCTTTAGGTTAGGGATATCAGTACCTTGGATTGAGTGAAATACTTATTTCTTACCCGCCTCCCCGCGCCCCCCCACCCCCCACCCCGTCCCACGCATGCGCCCACACCTTCTGCCGTCACTGTCAGCGTTAAGACTTCCCGGCAAAGGCATAGTGTAGATTACATGCAGAGCAACCATCCCGATTTCTCCCATTGTGACAACAACAACTCGCACTTGTAATAATAATAATAATCCTTGCATTTGGTATAGCGCTTTCACGTCGGGAGGACGTCCCAAAGCGCTTCACAGAATATACTGTAAAGTGAATTGACTGTGTATTTGTGGGTGAACGCGGCAGCCGATTGCGCACAGCGCACAGCAATGTCCCACAAACAGTCGTAGATTGAAAATGACCAATTTATTATTGTTTTTGGTTTTGGAGTTTATTATTAGGCTCTGTGTGGAGTAAGGAAACTTGCCCAAGGTTTCACCCTCTGCCTGGAATTGAACTCAGGTCTCTCATTTGCAAAGCGAGTGCTCTAACCACTGAGCTACAGGACTCCACGCAGCTCAGAGCACCTGGAGCTTCAGAAGAGCATGACGTATGCCAAAGACATTACCATTTCCCACGTCAGCCAACCTTCCAGTCAGTCACTCTGAGTAAGAGAACGAGATTAGTGCCAGATTAACGTGGTGTATATATATATATATGTATACTAAAGAGCAAATCCCTCAAGAGTCTGTAAGTGGGTCTCAGGATTTAGGTGACAGTTGCTTAGACTTTATGAACCACCAACTGTGTTGCTACTGACTGTTCCAAGACAGTGCTTATTATCATATAACATCATGCTGTAACAATTTGCTTCAGTTCCGTGTACGCTCTGCTGGTCTCAAAGAATGCGTCAACATCGTTTTATACAGATCAGATTAATTTTAGGCTTTGAAGCTCTGTTGCCGCGTTCTACGCTCCCAAAGTTTGGATGGTTGGCTGCCGCGTTTCACCCACAAAATACAGTGCTCTCCACTTTACAACATATCCTGCGAAGCGCTTTGAGGCGTCTCACCTGGTGATAAGGCGCTATGTCAAACGCAAGGATTCTTCTTCTTCTTATCACCAGGTCTGGCTGTTTGCGAGAGTGCTGATGGGCTAATGCTATTGGGTTGCTATGGCATGACGGGTAATGGAAGTACATGCGCACTTATGGGACCAGGTCATTAGGACTGAGGGAGGCTTACATCACATGATGTGGCCAGGAATAGGTCGGAGATTGCAGATAAATGCCGGAGCACTGACTCAGGCATTCATTTTACTGGAGGCTGTTTGCTAGCAATCGGCCCCTAGAGTTTGGAGTGTCTATTTGCCAGCGATTAGGCCGGTTATGTGAGCAATGTATGATCATCACCTCAGTCCCTCAGTATCTGCACCTCGACCACTGTGTGCCTCCTCATGGCTGCTTCTCTCCTTCATTCCAGAGAACAGCCCATCTTCACCACCAGGGCACACGTCTTCCAGATAGACCCCACCACCAAGAAGAACTGGGTACCAGCCAGCAAGCAAGCAGTCACCGTCTCCTACTTCTACGATGGAACCCGAAACAGCTACCGGATTATCAGTGTGGACGGAGCTAAGGTAGGAGCCCAGATAACGGGACTGTCAGGGAGAGTGAATAGGAGTGAATGAGTGAGTGCAATGTAACCCTTTCGTAACATCTTTCTCAAGACCAACCCCTTTGACCGTGCTTTCGGTCATCTTTCTCCTCCCCACCCCCATCTTGGGTACCCAACCAGTTCTGTTTAAGCACTTCAGGACATCCTCCCAACGTGAAAGGTGCTGTATAAATATCATTATATGTAAATATAAACTGCTCTATAAATATAAATACAACTTATTATTGCATTGTAAGTATGTTCCCCCATCTCCCAGTGTCTTTCAGAAGTAGAGGAGATCAGATTGACACTGCAGATATCATAGGATGGGCCATGGAGGGAACATGTCTGTGGTTGTTCGAATATTCATTAGAGTAGGAGCTGTCAGGCAGAGGGAGAGAGGGGAACTATAATAAACCTATATATCAAATGCAAGTGTTAATAATAATAATCACTCTTCGAGACGTCTCAAAACGCTTCACAGATTATACTGTAAAGTAAATTGACTGTATATTTTGTGGGTGAGACGGATTATATAGAACTGTGAGGGGGAAGGATGGAGTTGGGGTTCCTTCATCATAAGATAAATTACTGTAAATAAATTCTGTCTAATGTAATGTCTTGTCATTATTTCAGAACAGATACAACAAAGTACTCGAGAGGGAGTCCGGGCAGTTTATTTAAGTACAGTTTGGGAATCCTGAGTGTTATACTGAGCCCCAGTTGGGTTCACAGGCATTGACAAAGCCAGTGACCTGCCATTTGGGCCACTCTCCCTGCCTCTCTCTCTCCACGTGTGTGTTTGACGCTATCCAGCGCCACACTGATGCAGGCTTTGGGCTCTCAGCTAATTGGACTTCAAATCGATACTAATTCTACTCTCTTTACCTGCCCGAAGAGAGAGAGAGAGAGAGAATTGGATGTGTGGAAGTAATTGAATTCACTCTGGTGGGTTGCTATAGCTACATTGAATTACATCCCCGCATACACACTGACAATGCGGTGTAAAATGGAATAAAGTGAGATGAACACTAATGTAACACTGTGATGTTTTTATTCCGATTGAGACATAGAGACAAGTTGGACTGGATTCTGTTCTTTCAAATGGAACAGGGGATGGGTGGAGTGGGAATGGAGGAAATCAGTAGATTAGGATTAGAACAAGAACCTACACTCGGAGAATGTTAGCTCGGTGGCCTGAATGACACCCTCTTGTGCTGTCGTGTCTATGAACAGTGAAACACTGTGTTGGAAGATTGCCAGTACAGAGGAGGAGGTATTCAATCAAATTTAAATGAAGGTATTCTGTGCTTTGTAAATGAAAAAAAAGCAATTTTGGTCACTTCAATCCACCGCTGTTTGTGGGGACGCTGCTGTGCACAATTGGCTGCCGCGTTTCGCCCACAAAATGCACGGTCAATCCACTTTACAGTACATTCAGAGAAGCGCTTCGAGATGACTCAACGAAGTGATAAGGCGTTCTATCAAACGCAAGGATTATTATTATCATTATTATATCGTTTTGTCTCTCAGGCCCCGCCCTGCAGGTCTTTTTTTAAAAGAACATAGGAACGATCAGTAGTAGGCCATTCAGCCTTTGATAGAGCCCGTTCTGCCATTCTATTAGATCACGGCTGATCTGTATCTCAACTCCAAATTTTTGGCTCGCAGCAAATTACCTCAACCTCTACCCGACTCTAAACTGCATGACTAGTAGGGACGGTGGAGATACAGGGTCATCTTAGTGCTTGGTAGTACCAGGATGCTCTTATGCAAACACTTATGCTAATGCTGTTAAAAACTCCCAATGCTGCTGGCAAAGCCTCGTCCTTTTAAAACACAGACTTGACGACGCTTATAACCCACTTAGTTTCTCAGTTTCTCTTTTGAACCCTGGCGTCGTCCTGCCCTGTGGAGCCTTGGTTTCTGAGATAACCTCCTAACTACCCTCATGGTAGCCACGTGCGAAAGAAGCTCCTAATCTGCTATTTTATGAACTGAGTGCGATAAGTTTTGCAGAAGCTGGTGCCACATGCTTTAGAGATCAGCAGCATCTCTAAGGGCTGGAGTGTGGCTGTGGAATGCTGCTGAGTGAGTGGTTTGCATTCTCGGAATGCCACGTCCATAGCTTTCAGATTGAAATAGACCCTTACAAGAGATGAATCATAATGTCTGCCCGGGCCACATTAATAACCACAACTTGCATCCATTTATATAACGCTCCTCCACACAGGTTAGCATCCCAGAGGGCTCGGAAGAAGCGCTCTGGGACGCTACCCTGGGAATTAAACCCACAGCAGCTACTTAAACAGCTAGATTAAATGGCGCTTTTAATCTGGCTGCGATTAAAGGGGTTGATCATGCCTCAAGACCTTCCTCTTCGACCATGCCTATGGTTACCTGCCCGGGCTCGGAGTCAGGCTCCGCCACTGTTAAGCACTCCGAGACGCTACCTAGCTTGAAGGGGGCTCTGTATAAATGTTGTTAGTGGGGTGTGATGTGTGAGAGTCCCAAAATGGTCTGTGAATGGTGATGGTTTAGGTCAAGTTGAATGAGACATCTCTATGTACTTCCGTTCACTCCCTCTCCACACCAGTGAACATTTGAACAGTTTTGTCACCCACAACCTTCTCCTCGTCCAGTGACAGACACTCTCAAGGCCACTATTCCCTTGACGGAAGTTCATTGCTCACTGGTGGCAGAGTCTTATGTGGATTTGTTACCAGTGAATCTTTTGATCGAATGTTGTCAGGAGGGGGAACCATCCAAACCTTTGCGATTTTGACCCGACATCAAGTGAAGCAAATGTGGTGACATAAAAGAGTCTGACGTTTGACTCTCTTTATGTGGAGTTACATTTTGGGGTTTCTTCTGCTCCATGTAGCCAATTTGTTGACGTGCTGTTATGTTCCATTTGACCAATTTATCCTAATGAGGAATTGTGCAATGCAATTATTTTTTTTAGAAGGGAAAAAAAAAGTACCACTTAATCTTTCCTTAATAAGGTGGTGTTTCTTTTTCATTTGAAACTGATTGTTTCATTAGGAACACACCGTGGGACAGATTCGCTAAATTAACAGCGCAGAAAATCTCGCGTTAGTCCTCAGGAACAGAGAGTGTTTGGAAGCGAACTCACCCTATATGGACTGCTCTCAATCCTGCCAGCATTGCCAAAGCAGCAGCAACAACAACAACAATAACAGATGACATTTACACAGCGCCTTTCACGTCGGGAGGACGTCCCAAGGCAGTGATGGATTTGGACCCTGGCTGGGGGTTAGGATCAGGAGCGGTGGAGGGCAGGGAGGGTACGGATCGGAGGGTGACCAAAGGCATTGTGCCATCAATGTGATTCCACCGCCTGAGGTTGTGAGCTCAATCGCAGGGAGATGCAAGCGGTGATTGCATTGTGCTGTGCCAACCACTAATCCTGTGAGTCACTGCAATGCAATGTCACGGAGCCATTTAATTGCCATTTAGACAGACAGAGCAGAGGAATTTGCTGATGCATTGTGAAATCCAGTCAATAAACTCGTGGTTAAAGCTTGCTGACAAAATGCCACTTTCACTAATATTAATTATTAAGCTGTATGATCAATTAGTACCACTAGCTATAATGCAGAAATCCAGAAGCTTTTCAGTGATTCTCTTTGATGTACAATGACTGTGAAGAAGGCCCCTCTGTTTTTCTTTTATCCTGTTCCACACGCCGGTGTCTCTAGAGTGTGGATTCCTGTAGTATAGTGGTTAGAGCACTCACCTCGCAAGCTAGAAGTCTTGGGTTTGATTCCCGGGCAGGGCGAAATCTTGGGCAAATTTCCTTACTCCGCACACCTCTGTTTATCTCGCAGCAAATGGGACCATGATTGTTAGTCGATTGGAGAAAAGGAACGCTTTCCTGGGATAATAAACCCTTAAAAGAAAATAAAAACGTTATCACTCAATCTTGTTTATTGGAGGGTTACAATGCACAAGACAAAAACGTGTGTTCCTTTCACTTTAAACTGAACAGAAACAGGCCATTCGACTCATCAAGACCTTGCTGCACATGGGCGACCAAATCTAATCCCACTGCCCCGCTTGCTCCTGACACCTTTAATATTCTTCTTGCTGGAGAATCTAATTCTTCCTTGTAAAGGAGTTGATGGTCTCTGCTTCACCTAGAGTTTGCGGGGGAGAGAATTACGAATTTTAGCCGTCTTTGTGTCTAATGCCATGACGGGACCTATAATCTTCACTTCACCTGTTGCTATAATTTCCCAATGCGGAGACTCCAACTGAATCCTCATCACTGTGAGTTTGCATTGTAGGTGGAAGTAATTATTGGGGTAATTACTGCCACCTTTTGAGGCAGCCAACGTCAATTGTGAACAGTGTAATTAAGCCATTGATTTGCTGACAACAAAGGAAAAGTCAGCATTATGGGGCGGTCGGTGCATTTCACTGTCTGGAGAAGCTGAGAGTGTATTTTTACCGTCGTTGTTGGTGCAGAAACTACTGTAATATCGAAAGTCAACGAGAAACTATGTTTTCCGAGTTTAGATTAAATTTTCATTTTCCAAAAACCCTTCCATTTTGAGACAAAATTGTCTTGCGGGCTAAAAGCAGGTGGAATTTTGGACTTCAGAAATCCTTGAATAATAATAATAATAATCCTTACGTTTTACATAGCACCTTATCACTGATGGGCGATGGGAAATAGAGGGAAGGGAATGTGAGTGATAGGGAGCCCGTGCCTTTTGGAGAGAGATAGAACATTACTGTAGGTGTGCCTGAGAATATATAGGGAATGAGAATGCTTGGCGAGAGGGGAAAGAGTATAACAGGAACAGGACTTAATGTAAGGAAATGCATCTTTCAAAATAGATCAAGTGTGTTTCTGCTTGGACTGAGGGATGGCAGTGTTAGAGATTTACAACCTCTCATCTGGCAACACTACACCCATTTTTAGATCAGTTCTACAACGGGTAATAGCAATATATAGGCTTAACGCTGGCTCCGATGGTTGCCTGTGTTCATGCTGTGTTTAGCTCGGGGGCTAATCAGAGAGGAACTTGCCAACTCTTGCTGTTGGCAAGTCATGTTTAACACGGAGATGATCGATCAATTAGAGAGGTGGAAGCCAGAAAAGAAAACGACTGAAGATGATTTGGTTCTTTAAACCATTTCTAACTCTCAACAGATCACCCATAAAGCCCCAAAAACACACTTGCTACATAGAGAGACCATTGCTCCAAATGTTGCATGAGCCGTTTCGACAGTGAAATACTCAGCAAACTGAGGCCAATTGTTACGCTCCCACAGCTACCCTCTCATTTTGGAGAGTTTGTTATTCGGTACTTCTTCTTTTATTTGGTCGGAAATCCAGCCGAGTAAATGACACTCGGAGTGTACGGTGTGTGAATGTAAGTAACTCTGTATACATGTCTGTGAAAGAAATGGAGAGAATAACTGATGGAAAGATAGATTCACACTGACTCCCTTCACTTGCTTCACTAAATCTCTTGCAATCCATTCCTTGTACAGATAGAAACATAGACGTTTTCAGCACATGGAAATGAAGGCCATTTGGCCCAACATGTCTGTGTACTGTAACTCACTACACCGTCACCCTTTATCAATCCTACATTCCATTATCTTGGCTAAGACTATTTTTTAAAATCTTTTCTTTTTTTATGTAATATTTTTTAAATAAATGTAATGCATCTTGGAAGACGGTAATTGCCATCTTTATTGTGAGTTCCCAGCGCTCTGCTCGCTGCAGAATGCATTATGGATTGTGTATAAAATCTCTCTAGTACTAAACCTGAGTTCGCTGCCCACAAAATACGCAGTAAATTCACTTTACAATATATTGCGTGAAGCGCTTTGAGACGTCTCATTGGTGTGATAGGGTGCTATATCAAATGCAAGGATTATTATTATTATTTGGTTTAATACTGTCACAGGGAATGGGGGGGGGGCAGCAAAAGGCTGCTCGGATCTCTCAGAAGCCCAACAGCACAAATGGTGGAATAGCTGGTTTCTCATAATGATTGGGAAATACTTATGGCCTGATTGATCAACTAGCTTTGGGTAGAGTAACAATCCTTGCATTTCATATGGGATATAACCCTCCTCTCCTCTCCCTCTGCCATATCCTCATTTTGACGTTCTTGATAGAAACAATATTTCTGAGCAAATATCTGTCGTATTTCTTCTGGTTCCCCGTGTCCTCTCAGCACTATTTCAGCTGACTCGGTGCCCTGTGCTGTACAACAGATTCACTGGATCAGCATTACCTACAGGAACTCAAAGCCCCGTCTCTCCCAGTTAAAATCTTGACAGTGAAACAACCTGCCAGGTGGTTGGACACGCAGCTCTACAAAGTTTTTAAAAGGAAGCGTGGATTATTTATGGTTGTTAGATGATGAGATAGATGTGTTGAGATGGGCTAATAGTCTACTCCTATCTCTGTTTGCTGAACCCTACGTGTATATGGCTTAAGTGATTTAATAGACTCCCATATTGGGAAGGGGGGGGTTGTCACTGTCTTCTGTAGTAAAATTCTCCCTTCTCCCTAAAATTTTAAGTTATTGGAAGGAGCAGATTATATTCTGAGATCTCATTCTCTCCACCCCCCACCCCCACTCCTTAGCTTCATATGCATTATCATAATTATTATTATTATTATTTATTGGAAATGCGCTGATCGATATCTTTCTACACTTTACAGGTCATCATCAACAGCACCATCAGCCCCAACATGACGTTCACAAAGACGTCGCAGAAGTTTGGCCAGTGGGCTGACAGCAGGGCCAACACTGTGTTTGGACTGGGATTCCCATCTGAGCAGCAGCTCACCAAGGTATTAGTTCTTCCTGCCTACAAGGTCCTGAGCACAAAAGCAGACCATAAGATGGCACTAAATTGATCCCACTCTGTAAATAGTTTGAGCTTTACTCTTGCGTTGTGGTTCAGGTTATCTGGATTTCCTGCTCTGTCACTCCCTGCCAACTAACTCATTCTCTCATTGTTGCTCCTCTCGAACCTCCCACCGTTCTACACGTGATCTATTGCAGTTTGCAGAGAAGTTCCATGAGGTGAAAGAAGCCGCGAGGCTAGCCAGAGACAAATCGCAAGAGAAAGCGGAAACTTCCAGCAACCATTCTCATGTAAGTGTTTCTAGTTACGCTGAAAGGTCTCGGTGGGTAAGGAGCAGTCACCCAAGGACCTGTCTATCACTTGAGGTTTAGGGACAATCAAAGTCTGGCCAATACTCAACAAGCCAACGGTGAGTTTGATGATGAGTTTGGTTGGTCAAGGCATCTTTTGTTGAGTCTCCTGACATTGAATACAACATAATTGGTGAAGGTACATTCTGGGAGACAGAGATACAATGAGGTGCGGTGTGTGGGGATGGGTGGGGAGAAGAGGAATGAAATAACAGTCTCCTGGTTTTGTCTGTTTTATTACATGTACATTATCCTCACAGTATTGAGTTCCAAGTTGGAGTATGTACTGATTCCTTTTAGGTGTGTCATTGTACAGTCTGAGCAAGGGCTTGTACTGGAGTTGGAGCTGAACTTTGACATTCCCCCGCATTCAATGTGCCCCAAATTTAACAAAAAATAAAATTGACCAAAATAGTAAATTCCTTCAATGCCCCCTCCCTCCATCCCATTATTTGCAGCGAGTTGTATCCTGCCCTAATGCACAGCCTCCAAATAAACCTTTGGAGGTAAAAGTACAGTAGAGGCTGTCATAGTGGGAGGACTGTCACCCAAAGCACTAAGTTTAAGGACTAGCGCTTTACGAATTCTTCCCTTTAACTTTAGTGTCTGAACCATTTGCTGTAGGAGTCTGGCCGTGAAACTCCTTCTACACAGCCGTCCAGTGTGAACGGGACAGATGATGAGAAAGCGTGTCACGGACCTCCCATCGAAACCCTCCTCAAGAACGACAACGACCGGATGAAGACTGGCCCAGCCCAAGAGTGAGTATAATTAACCTAGATTTGCTTCAAAGGTCATCTGTGGTCCATTAGTCCTCACACACACAAAAAAAGTGGGACAGTGTCTTAGAAACATTTGCTAACAATGACATATTTAGCTCCCGGATAAGCAATATTAAAAAGTGTACTCCGAAATATAGGCTATTGTAGTGGAACTCTTTACCTCTTTCTGTTGTGGAGGTAAAGAATTCTACCTTCTTGTTTACCTCCTCCTTTAAACCTCAGCACTTTGGGACGTCCTCCTGACGTGAAAGGCGCTGTACAAATGTAATTTGTTGTTGCTGCTGTTGAGACGCTAGATGTGCCTATGTTTCTCCCCTCAGTCCGGCTGTTATTAGGAAATGGGAGACGGAGATGCAGACTTTGCAGGACAGCAACGATCGACTGACCACTGCGTTGGAGGAGTCAACGAGCAACGTGGAGCACTGGAAGAAGCAGCTGGCAGTGTGCAAAGAGGAAGGAGACCAACTCAGGGAGAAGGTCAGTGATTAATACAAGGAGCTCAGCTCCCTCGTTCTCCATTGCCAGCAGATATCATCAGCGACTGATAGAGTTTAGAAGGTCATCTTCTTCCTGCGCTAGATTTGGAACAGGGTTTCACAGGCACATGGCACAGACCTGCTTCTTGTCTCCGGTACTTTTAACAGTGTAACATTCCCGCTGGACCCATCCAAGATAACTCCCAGACACTGGTCGCTGCTGATATAAAGAGTTACACGCTAGTGTGTGTGAGGTTACATACCTGAAAGGGAATTAGATAAATATTTGAAAAATAAAAACTTCGAAAGGTTATTAAAAGGCTTAGCCATGATCTAATAGAATGGTGGAATAGACTCGAGGGGCTGAGTGTCCTACTCCTGTGCCTATGTTCCTATGTATAGGGTAGGGGAGTGGGACTAAATGAAGGGCTCTTTTAAGAGAGCTGTCATAGGTATGAGAGAGCTATGACCACCTTCAATGCTGTAAGAAAGTCTATAAAGTATACAAAGTAGTAGGGTTTGTAGGCAAATGCGGCAGCTGATCTGCACTAACAATGTCCTATAAACAGCAATGAGATGAATGCCCACTTTTCAATCATGCTAGAATCAGATACGAGCCGAGTTATTAGCCAGGACCCCGGGAGAATCCTCTACCTTTCCTCTCAAAATAGCCCCAAGACCTTGGTCTGATGGCTCGTTCCTTTGTCATCATTTAGATTTCTTCCCTCAGATTAAAGAACTTGAGGTGCAGTGCAATGAGGTCCATCTAGAGAAGGAGCGGAATGAGCAGCTCAGTCACAGAATCAAGCAGCTCGAAGCTGATATTAACGACAAGGAACAGGTTAGTGAAAACATTCACGCGGGAATATTTTCACCAAAGCCTTGAGATAAAACCCAAGATGACAAGAGAGGTTTGGATGTAGAAGGTCTTTGGACCATTCAATCTCATCCTTATAATAATAACCCTTGCAGTTAATATAGCGCCTTTTTACACTGTTGAGGCATCTCAAAGCGCTTCACAGAATATATTGTGGAGTGAATTGACTGTATATTTTGTGGGCGAAACAAGGGCAATCCTTCCACAATACCAATCGTACGTGTGCTATATTATGAGTGTTTTCACAGCCCACAAAATTAACACCCTTGGGGAATGTGGTTTAATTTTATCTGAGAGTCTGAGCAGTTTGGAAGAAATCTCCCAGACAAAATGCTTGTGCATTTCACTGCAGAGATGGAGGTTGAGGGAGGGAAGGGGTGGGGCCGGGGCGGAATGGAAGAAGGTGGAAAACCTAAATTCGCTTGCTAAAAAATCCTTGTGATGCACATCTCAGAAGCAGATTGAGATGCTGTCTGCTCTGGTTCCTGAGAAGCGTGTAAGCTTGTCCTCGTTTTGACAAGCCAAAGGAAAGCATTTCCTCTCTCCTGCCTCCCAGCAACAAACAATTAAAGCACAGGAGAGGATTGTAGAGGCGGATGACATGATGTATTTATTTGACATCAGAGCATATTTGCAAATATCTACTCTCTAACACAGGAGCTGACGGGTGGCAACTTCAGTCTAATTGGGTACGCACTGAGCAATAAGACAATTTGTTCCGTGTCACTTATGATGACCCCAACTGAATTCACCACAAGCTCTTGATGTCTCTGTGGGTTTCGTTTTAAAAAAAACCTGAGCCATGCGTTTTGAGTTAGAAATTTCACTTTCCAACCCAGAAAGAAATTCACACTTAGGGAACAAATTGACATCTCCTGGGCTGGTCACTACCAAATAAAGTCCTCTTCCATCTTCCAACCTTAACGACTGTCCCTGGAAAGAAAGGATGGCGATAATGTTGGCTCTTTTGCAGAATCTCGGATTTGGAATTTCTAACGTTGGGTTTTCTCATTCCCACAGGAGTTGGAGAGGCTGAGAAAGGAGGCGGAAGTGATACCCCAGCTCGTGGAAGAGTGTGACGCGTTGAGAGAGACCCTGCAGGTACGAAGGAGGGAGACATGCAACTGCGCTAAAAAACATTAGGCCTGATCGCACATGATAAACCGGTAGTGATCACTCCAGTGTGCTAACTAATAAAGCTGGTTAGACTCCAGCAGTTACCCCAACGCACACTCCGGGCTCCCCCAAGCCTCGGCTCCTTTGCCAATCTGCGCCTAATGCTTTCTGGAATTAGGTAAGCAAGGGTGTGTCCCTCCAGGGAGGGAGAGAGTTTGCGTTCCATTCCATCTCTGGGATTTCATTGTGTAGGTGGGACGCAAGGAATTCTCAGTTTGGTGTGGATACTCTTAAGCACGGTGATGGGTTTCCGAATGGGTGTCAGACACCCGGCTGACAATAATAAAAAACTAATAAGAATTCACATGTATAGACGTATAAATATAGACACATTGGGGCCAAATGGTGTCCATCAGGGATGAAAGGTTTACAGTCAAGCTGATGCTTTCAACCCAGTCCTGATTGTGAGGGTGGGGCCTTGGTCAACTCACAGAGGTCATTTTCCAGTAACATGGGGAGAGGGTGACTCAAATAGCCCACTGACAGTTCATGCCAAGTATAAAAGCCAGCTAAAGGCTGAAATCACACCATTCAAACCGCTGCCTGGTGAACAAAGGGGAACAGCAAAGGCGTCAATATTGTGAGTCAAAGAGGAAAGAGTAAGAGTAGATACGGCAGCAGTTTTTTTTAAAAAGAATCTGAAATAAATCACAAGAGCAAAGCTGTGAGAACAATCGGCACTCTGAAGGAGGGCGAGGCAGACAGCAACACACAGGAAAGCTTAAAAATACAAAATAAATCTGAAATAAAATCTGCACAAAGGCTTCCTCCAGCCCCCTCCCTCCAAGCAGAGCCCAAAACGCAGGAAAAATATCTTTTAAAAATAAAGTAAGACAATCCAGGGAAAAAAAAGATTCAGCCATGGTCTAATAGAACAGGCTTGAGGGACTCCTCCTGTTCCAATTTTCCTACGACTGACCTAGACTTAAATTGTACCCTCTTGGTACTCACATTAGAAGTTCTTCCCCTTTTAAAGTCCAGGGAGCAATGCAAGGCAGTTTATTCAATGAAAACGTTTAGATGTTCTCCATGGCACTGACGTGGACTGAACCTTGCGGGTGTTGGCAAATGTGTGCAATTCTGTCCCTGCTAATTACCAGTTTATCAGAGTCAGATGATTAATTATACAGTGACAATCAGCCAGTGACCTAGATCAGGACTTTGCCAGCTCATATCTCTCAGGCTGAGAGTATCTTGTTCTCTCTCTCTCTCTTTCCCTAAGCGAGGATTGTGCTTTTTTCTTTAACAAATAACTTCAGATGTACACACTCGTCCCCTTGTTAGAAGGTTGCTCTTTGTGTCTCAGAGTATCAGATGGTTAAACCATGTGGCTGATGTACACAGAGCTGGGAATGGATGATTCAAACCACAAGTTAATTTGAAGTGTCGTGTCTGTTGCTTACCTGGAACAAAGTGATGCCACCATAGATTGGTAACATGGGAGGCCAGAGTCCATCAACTGGAAACCATCTAAGCTGATTTTATCACTAAATACCGGCTTTGGTATTTATCTAAATATAACTGTCTAATTGCAGACACAGCACTGCTTTCCTTGTGTTTATTCCTCCAGGGTGACTGTGGCACATGACTCACAATGGGACTGAATCCATCTCAGTGGCAAAGAATATTTAATGCTTTGGGAAAATAAAGGGGAAGGAGCCTTACAATTCAATAGCAGTGTTGGAACTTCAGCCCCTGCGCCCTGAACGTTGGAACTCTCTCCCCTCACCCCCCTACAATCCCTCCTCCTCTCTTGACCACAGAGAGGTGAGATGTGTACTTCTCCACAAAGAGAGTAAGGGTGAGGGGGTGTCAAGTACTGATGAATATCTTAATTCAAGATCGAATTCAAGATCCTCACCCTCACCTACAAGGCCATTCACGGCCTTCCTCCCTTCTACCTCTCCGACCTACTATCCCCTACCTACCCGCCCGTACCCTCCGTTCCTCTGGCTCCGGTCTGCTCCACATCCCCCGCCCCAATCGCCCTACTATCGGTGGCCGGGCCTTCAGCCCCTCAGCCCCGAGGCTCTGGAACTCCATCCCCCAGTGCCTTCGCCGCTTCCTCCCTTTCCTCCTTCAAGGCCGGTCTCAAGACCTTTCTCTTTGACCGGCCTTCAGCTCCCCTCTCGACTCTCTACCCCCTCCTCGCTCCCTCCCTTCCCTCCCCTCACCCTGACCATTTCCCCCCTGCTCGGGTCCTGACCCAACTGTACAGCGCCTTGGGACGTCCTCCCGACGTGAAAGGCGCTCAATAAGTGGAATCTTGTTGTTGTTGTTGTTAACTGTCGTCTCAAGAGTAGATTGGAATTGGTCTGGGCACAGCTTGTTCAGTATACAGGAGTGCTAAATAGAAGAGGAGAATATAAATCAGAATCAGATCTCTTCCCAGCCGCTCCCGTTAGATAAAATCCCAAAGGGCAATATCATTCCTTCCCATTCAGTCCTTTTATGTAGAATGGATAAACTGCTTGCATTAGAGAATTGCAATAGACCAAAGCTTTTCCTATCCCTTGCTATTGTACTGAATCCCAATAGAAAAGTAATTGCACTTTCAAAGTGTGGCATCAACACTTGAAGCACAAATTCTCCAATAAACCACATTAGAATGGCCATTAAACTAAATATAGTTCAACCCGCTACCACATTGCACCTTGAGGCATCAGCACAGTTTGGAATTCAAATCACTCAGTATAAAATAAATATGATCAGCAGTTCCTTACTTTCTTCATGTCACTTTTCTGAATGGACTGAGTGTAGGACAAATGCTTGTGAGCACCATGCCCCCCACCCCCTCAAAAAAAAATCCTGAATGAAGTGTAATATCTAGCAATCTTACCAAGATATTTGTCAGGATTGCTGTAATTGAGGGAATGAAATAGACGCTGGGTTTAAATCTCTTTCCCATGTGGCTGGTCGCCGGGGCCTAATGATCCAAGTTCATTTGTACATTTGGATCTTTAATCAGCTGCTGAAACTTGTCTTTCATTTGGAAGTGGATCATCTGGTCTTTCTCACAGATAGTTTCTTCATTAGAGGAGTCCTTTTTTCCCCCAGTATCCTCAAGGGACAATCGAATTGAGTAATCCTCGCGCTTGATGTAGCATCTTATTACGTCGAAACATCTCAAAGCGCTTTTCAGTCATTACTGTGACTGCATCTGTAGGAAATATGACAGGAGGTTTGTACTCAGCACTCAGGAAGCAAACGACCAATTTGAACGGAGGATTTTGTTGGCTAAGTTACTGGGAGAAAATCTTCTCTTTTCAAAGAGTGCCTTTAGCGTTCATCAGAAGAGACAGATGGGACCTCAGTTTTGACTGATTTGAACTTGTTTGAAAGACGGAACCTGCATAATGCAGTCCTACCTTAACAGCAACTATAACTATTTATTTATAGCTGTAACAATTTATACAGCGCCTTTACATGGGGTAGTAACTCGGAGAGCTTTACGCTGAGCAGGGCGGGGAGGTAACGATTGGCACAGGTAAAGAAGAAGGTGCGATCTGAAGACGGGGAAGGAGAGGGGCAAGGTGGAGAGGTTGAGGCAGAGAGTTCCATCGTTTCAGGTCTCAATACCGCACTGGAGCATCAACCTAGACTATGAGCTCAAAGTCTCTGACCTAGGATTTGAACCACAACCTTCTAATCCAGAGGCCCGAGTGATACCAACTGAGCCATACCAGCCTTATATATAAAAAGATCAGGGAGATTCTCCCTTGCTGCCTTCCTCATTATTGCTCCCTCAGTCAAATGGTCCTTCATCACAGCAACTGATCTACCAAGTTGTGAGACTTTGTTGACTAGCAGATAAGTTGCTGTGATTGCTTATGTCGCGATCAGTCACTATTGTCAAAGTAACTCATCGTGTGAAACGCTTTGAAATGTTTTAATGGGACAAGAATTTAATGTGACGTCGAACTCAACGATTTAACCTGTGGTCTCATCCCTGAATTTTGTCCCGTTCTGCGGCCACACTCTGCTGTCCTCAGAATACCCCGATTACACCTTAACCACCCTTCTTTTGATTTCCTCTGTGCTCTCAGACCACCGAGGAAACGAACAAGGATTTGGAAACCAAAACCAAAACTCTAAAGACTGACATTGAAGAAAGCCACCAGAAGCAAGGCAACATGAAGTGCGAACTGAAGAGTTTGCTGGATGTCCTAGACGGGAAAATCGATGAGCTCCATGAATTCCGACAAGGACTGGCTAGACTGGGGGCGGACAATTGAGGAGTGTTAGTGATGGGGGGGGGGGGGTGGAGGGGAGGAGGGAGGAGGGGAGGAAAGGGAAGGAGAGAGGAAGAAAAACACTCTGATACAAACTAGGGTGCTGCGATTCTGCATTCCCGCTTCCTGGTGTATGTTCTCATCCCGACTTGGTCGAAACGTCCCACAGGCGAAAGCCACGTCGCTTTGTATCCGAGGTTTGCATTCTACTGCGCATTGGGAACCTCCTCTCTGTTTTGCTGCCTTTGAATAGGAATACTCTATGGCCTGGCTTCCGCCGCTGCCGTTCTGATAGTGTGTGTGTGCGTGTGTGTGTGTGTGTGTGCGCGTGTGAATCCATTGAAATTTTCAAGACTGAGGTGTATAGATATTTGTGCGGTAAAGGTATCAACGGATATGGGGCAAGGGCGGTAATTGGAGTTGAGGTACAGAACAGCCATGATCTTATAGAATGCCGGAACAGGCTCGAGGAGCCGAATGGCCTCCTCCTCTTCCTATGTGTGTGTGTGTGTGTATGGGAAGGGGGGAGGGTGGGAGATATATATTGTGGGAGACCTGGGCCCACTTGCACCCATCTGTGTGGCTCCAGTGTGCTCTCCGGGCAGTGGGGGTGGGCGGTGGGGAGTGGGGGGGGGGGTTGTGGTATGTGTGTGTGTGCAAAGATTTTCTCCTTGTTGCCATGGGAATGTGGAACAGACTTGGCATGAGTGCTGGCTGCCTGTGTAATCTGATTCATAATGTTCTCTTGTTTTCTGGAATCAACTGAGGATAATTTTGAAAATAATTTCCCCATTTTGTCTCCCGCTCATGAAGCCTCGAAGATTTTTTCCCCCTCCTCTCTCTGTGTTCGAGGTTGGTGGAGTGTCAACTAATGATCGAAAAGTGGGAGGGGTGGGGGGGAGAGTGGGGGAGTGGGGTGGGGGAGAGTGGGGTGTGGGGTGGGGGAGAGAGACAGTGGTGAAGAGTTGGTGTTGGTGGGTGGGGGGGGGGGCGGGGAATAGAAGTTCTTTCACAGCAAAAATGCATCCAGATTTCCAGTCTGTTTTTACTTGTCTTTTCTTACTTGCCAAGGAATAAATTTGATGTTTTATTTTTAAAAGTATCAACATTAAGATGCTCTTTTATATAAGGCTTAACTTTGGAAGCCCGGCCCATCACAGTCCCGGGCAGTGTGCTTTAGAGCTGTTTGTAAATCTACGGTCCCTGTTTAAGCGAGCAAGTCACAATACACCCTGTATCTGCATCTGAATTTAACATCGGAGGAGGGTGGAAGAGATGGGCTCCTGTACAGTATTATATTTCGTAAAAGTGCACGAAACTAGAATATTCCAGCGTTTGTGCCAACGCAGCTTGATTTGACTCGACTCTTCCAGTAATTGCTCCTAATTGGGACCTGACCCCCAATTAGACTATTCCAAGAAAACATGCATCATTTGCAATTACATTTTTTTTCTTTACCTTGGTTACTGATAAACTCAAGGTGATTTGGGTTAGACTCATCACTTATATAATGCCACTTCCTCCCCCGCAAAATCCTTTCGACCACAGGGACATCGGCCTTGATTGGGCCGTGTGAAGCGAAAGCTAAACCACTCGCTCCTCTGCGGAGAGGAGAGGAGAAAATTGCAAAGGGATTGGTTCGAAGGTGGGAAAAAATAATAGCAATGCGGTTCTACCAACAGCTAAAAGTCTGTCCTCCTCTTAGTGGCAATTTACTTTTATGTAGCACCTTTCATATCAGGAAGATGTCTGAAAGTGCTTCACACAGCTGACAACCGTACAGAAGCTTTCCCAAACACATAGCAGTTTTCAGGGACTAGCTCAGGGCCACTGAGGGCTAATTGTGACAGTTCTGTTGTTATTCCATCTCCCTTTCCCCTCCTTATGCCAGCTGTAGGTTTGGGGAAAATATTTCAGGACAGCCAAATCTAACAAGAAATTACATTTAGAGTCTATAGCACATTTCACGTCAGGAAGGATGTCACATCTCAACTGATTGGGAGCCCCAGTCGGGGGGGGGGGGGGGTGGAGAGTGGTGGGGGGAAGGAGCTGAGGGTAAAGGTGGTTGAAAACAGACAAGTCCGCACTGTGTGCTGTCATATTAAAAAGTACAGAGTTAATAAGGGCTCCTACAGGAGGAGGGAACCTTGTAATATTTGTTGAGTGAAAGGGTGGAGGTGGGTGCAAGAGATGATCCCAGTTTTATACTTGCTCTCCTCTCTTCTCTCTGGTCTAGCAGACAATATGCACATTTCCTTTGGCGTGGGAGGGTGAACGGAGGTGGAGGAAGAAGAGATGTTAAGAGATAATTATGTGTATTGGACAAATGTTCCTGCAGCCTACTGCCATCAGTGGGAGATTTGGTTGCTACAGCAACAGCAGATTGCTTGGATTTCCTTGCCTGATCTAACAGGGTATGCTTTCCAGAGGAACCTCTATCCTCACACAGACAGGAATGGCTGTGAGGCAAACCATTTACCCTCCTACCACTGCAGGATAGAGGATAGTGTTCAAAATCCTCGTCCTCGTCTTCACAGCGTCCTATCCATTCAGCTCCATGTCTCCTGCCCGGCCCAGCCCACCCCACCCCACCATCAGTGGTTGGGCCTTCATCCTCTCTGCCCCCCATCTTCTGGAACTCCACCCCATGGTCCCTTCGCCTCGCTTCCTCCCTTGCCACCTGCAAGTCCCCTCTCAAGACCCTCCTCTTCGACCGCACCTTCGGTCACCCTCCTACCCCTACCCTCCTGGTCCCCGACCCCCAACTCAGGTCCAAATTCCTGACTGTCCAGCACCTCGGGACGTCCTCCTGACGTGAAAGGCGCTGTGTAAATGTAATTTGATGTTGTTGTCGTCACAGCCAGAGGCTGAGAGGGATTCAAATGCTTTGCCTCCCTGTCAGCCAGTGTCCCCTCCTCCTCAGGCCAGTTCCCGTTCAGGAGGTGTCACTGCAAATATGGCAGGAAATGAACTGAAGAGACACTGCCTGGAAGCTTGTTGGTGACAGCTCTCGACTACACACAGCACACAGGCATGTGGCAGCCCACGTGAGTAGCCTGGGCACACCAGAAGTTAGTTCTGACACCTCCAGCAGCTCTGCGTTAGTTGAGGAAAGTCGCCAATTCAAGCTGGGTGCTCAGTACGTTTTACGCTGAAGCTTCTATGATGATGATCCCTGCGTTTGATTCAGTGAGTATAGCATTGAGACGTCTCGAAACTCTGCACAGCTAATTGCTGTCAAGTGTAGTGACTCTATATTTGTAGGCAGCAAATGCAGCAGCCAATTTGTCCACAGGATACCAGGAGAAATTACCTTACCTACATCTTCAAATCCCAAGCTATTCAACCTGGACACTGGCTGAGCGCAGGACGCTTTCAGATTTTTATAAAATGCCTTTATTCTTCTTTCAACTAAAGCCAGTCTCTATCAAAGAGCAGACAGGAAGGAATATATATAGATATATATATATATATATAAAAAAACGTGTATATCGGGTGCAATAAAAATAACGTTCACCTGGTGAGAAGTGGGGATGATAGAACCAATCCCTTTAATGTCGAAAGAAAGCGAGCATTTGTATTTAAGTTTAAGCAGAAACTCGGTGCGAGTGGTCGGTAATCTGAAACTTGGTTATTTATTATTATTTATACAGGACTTAATGCATGAGTCAAACAGGAAACTCACTTTCTGTGTTGATGAAGCTGAATCTTGAGAGATACACTGCCAACGTGTGGCATAACACGCCTGTTGCCTCGGCACTCCAACGGATGAGATTATGCAAGAAGACAATTTAAAAAAAAATCTTTAACACAACATCTGGTCATTCAGACTTTCGGTTGAAATAAGAGTACATTTTAAAAATTAGCGTAAGCTACATTACACGCAGGTAATAAGGTTTATAATGAGGGCATAAAAAAAAGCGTAGAAAAGAAAGGCCGTATACTTTAATTTACAAGAACTTGCATTTATTTAGCGCCCCTCATGCAGGGTAGCGTCCCAGAGCGCTCGACAGTGACGGAGCACGAGGACTTCATACAACCCACTCAATTTCCCCCTCCCCAAAAAGGAAAACTTTTACAATGCGTTCTCTTTGACTCCCCCAAGAGCCCCCCCCCCCCCCCACCCCACAAAGATAACAGAGAAAAGCCCCAGAACACGAGTCAGCTGTGATGTGGTTAGTTCCACGTGTTTCAAAATAGTTTGAACTGATCTGACTCATTAAAGGCAAAGTATGACACCAATTTAGTTTTCATATGATGTTCAGTATTTTGAAAACATTTGACCTTGCAATCCAATTCATGGATTATTGCTGAAGTTCTGATTTTCTTGCCTGATTGTGTTTTTTTTAAAAAAAACTAACTTAATCTATCCTGTTACAGACGGGAGTTAAACAACAACAGCAACAACAAAATTGCATTTATAGATCGCCTTTCAGGCCAGTGTTAAAGGTACCGTTGGAGGAATTAATTCATGTCACAATTGTAATCACGAGTAATGTTTGCCCTTGTAACTTTCCACGTCACCGAGGGACACTGAGGCATGAAGTGTTGCCCATGTTTCAGGAGAGGTGCAGAGCCATGGAAAAGACAAACTATTTTTTTATAACAAAACAATTTTTCAAAGAATTTTTATAAAGTGAAACTATCTTCTATCTATGCTGCTTTGATTCAACGTATTAGTGGGCAAAGAAGTGGACTCTGACTTTCTCGATGCATCTGAAAGTTTTGCTAATCCTTTGAGTTAAGTTATTCCCCCCACCCAACCCCCCATTAATATTTACAATAACTGGATATATTTTATGTTGAGAATTATACTATAAAACCTAATAAATGTTGAATGTTTCAGTAATTCTACCGGGTAATAAAAGTTATTAACTTTAGAAGATGTTAAGCAGGTTGTTTTCACTATAAGTATTTGACAGCTTTATCCTTTATCAAACAAACATGCAAACTATGAAGGCGTTTGTACCTGTGAAGTAAATGGAAATGTACTCCTAAAATGCATTTTGTTTTTTTGCATCTGTGTACATAGCTCTCTGAGGAACTCTAGCGGGAATAACTGGCGTTGCAATATTGTTGGCTACTTGTAAAATTCCTGGTTTTACAAAAGCACTTGGATTTTTAATGCACCTGGTCACATTAAAATGTCTCAAAGCACTTTACAGTAATTACTTTTCTGTGTCATAAATGATTTTCCAAAGACATTTTGCACGCAGCAGTGTCTCATAAAGAGGCATGAGGTGAATGAATAATTTATCCGGAGGATTGATCGTTAGCCAAGATACTAAATAAATGGTACAATTATATAGCATGAGCCATTTGACACGTGATAATGGTAATGGTACTAGCTCTCTGTAAGAGATATCCATTAAGTCCGACTCTCCTGTCTTTGCACCATACTGCTTCCTTTTAAACCATCATGACACCTTTAACATCCCCCCGAACAACTAGATGTCTCATCTGAAGGACAGCCACTCTGAATGAGGCACCTGTCTATTATCAGCGTGAAGTTAGGAGCTAAAAATCTTGACATAAGTCTTAAACCCACAATTGTCTTAAACCGACAATCGTCTGAACCAGATTGACTGGGCCAAGCTCTATTGATTGGGCAAACTATTTTCCAACTAGCTGTACCCGTTGCAGCTTCGCTTGCAACCAAAGGTCCAATATGGAATGTAGATTGACACACAGACAGACATTTCATCTTTATCTATACTCATCTGGGAGGACTCAGTGCTTTAGAAATTTAATTTTGTTGTTGTTGCTGTGGCGTAGCTTCGTCTGTGTTCTTTATTTAGTTCCCGCCAGTTGGCTGCGTGCGTGCTCTGTGACGCAGGATGCCACAGTGCCACGGTTAGCCGGCCCGGCCACCAGGTGTAACTGCAGTGTGCGCGGACATACGTAGGTGCTCTGTGACGCACAATGCCACAGCGCTACTTTGACTTGGCAGCCACCAGGTGTAACTGGAGTGAAAAATGCAAAATTGAAAATAACTCATGAACGATAGGAGATACCGGAAAATAATCATGTCCATGTCACTCCCAGGTGCAAGACCTTTCCAATGAGATATAAATCACGTCTCTTCGTCAATCAGTTATTGAGATCCTTCTTGAAGCGCAGGCATACATTGTTGTTTTATTAGTATATAAATATATATGATAAGCTGTGCACTTACCTTGCACACCAACAGAACAACATAGGCTCTAGGCTTGTCCCATCTTAACATGATCATTTAATTTCTGTAGTTGCTCTTCTTATGTACTCATTCCAAGTAGAAGGATGCTGTCAGACAAATGCAAATGTAAGGATTATTATTATTCATTATACAACCTGTTCAGTCCTCTGCCAATGTTGTTCTTGTGCTCAGAGGGCGTTTTGACGTTCAATCCTTCTTCTGAGATGGTTGTTTTATCTTTCGTTCAAGTGACTCTTCCCGCTGCCCCACCCACCCTTTAAATTTCACATGCTGCTGAATATGAGGGAAGGGGCGAGTGAACAAGGAATGGCGGATGTTTGCGCGAACATTAAATAAAAGTTGGCTCTTGGTACAAAAGAATACAATGCATTCCCTTGACATGACCGCTGTACTAATCAGACCGGCCAGACAAGATTAGCTTCTGCAACAACAGCACAACCTGAACCCATCTCAACTGTTAGGTACATCCCTGCACACATACTCCCCCAGCTCAAACACAGCGCTGAGCAGAACGCTATGAGACATGCAAAGAAGGCATTAGCTCCAGATACACCCAATCCGTTGTGTGCGATGGGCAGGCGGACACTACAAAGGGCAACTCATCCGGAGAGACTGATAGATGCTCAAGTACAGACTAAAACACTTTATACATAGACCACGAGTCCGGAGATTGGAATTAATAATAATACTTGCATTTGATATTGCACCTTATCACGTCGTCAAGATGTCTCACAGGATATACTGTAAAGTGGATTGACTGTATATTTTGTGGTCGAACACGGCAGCCAGTTTGCACACGGCGATGTCTCACAAACAGCCATGGAGTGAGTGACCAATTTTATTTGGGCGATTTCAAATCGTGCCGTGGGATCTTTAATGTCCACCTGAACAGGCAGATGGGACCTCGATTTAACGTCTCACCTGAAGGATGGCACCTCCGACAACCTGACATCATCCCAGAACCACACTGGAGTGTCAGCTACTTGATTTCAAATCCCGATGTGGAGCTTGAACCCACAACCTTCTGACTCCGAGGCTACCGCTGAGCCAGCCTGTCGCTCCTAATGAGGAACAGGGCAACTGTAACAGCATCATGAGCTCTAACTCCTCAGTAATCCAATGCTAGAGAGACTAACTGTCTGTCCCTATATTTTGTAACACCCCATGAAATATTAGATGCTGTCTGGAGCCTACAAAGTTAGATAGGAAGACGATAATTCCCTATAAACGGCAGGTCAAGTACAACAACTGACAATAAATGGTAATACTGGAAACGCCAGCAGCCGAGTCATCAGTTTTGTGTGTGTGAGTGTGGGTGGGGGAGAACTGTGGATGCCAGCAAAGAAAGCACAGAAGTTTTATCAACAGGCTGGAGTTTTAAAATAAATAAAATATACTTTAATGTCCATATTCACTCCTTCAGAGATTTAGCAAAACACCAATCCCGTTACAAGATTATTGATTCACAAAAAGATAGACAAATGTATATATATATTACAATAATGCTCAGAATATTTTATTGCCATTCATAGCATTTCAGGCATCAGCATAGCCCTTGGAAATCGAGCCCGTAACTCCTTGGCGATTAACTTTAAAGTGTTAGAACGCAATGAAAATCAATCTCGCAGAAAAATACGACATCCTCTCGCCGTGAAAGCGATATGCAAACGTAATTTGTTGTTATTGTCTGTCAATTTCACTTAGAAGGTTGTGCAAATAAAAGAGAGAGTTTGCAATTGTGAGCAGTTTCCCAGAAGCTTGCCTAAAAGCAGTAGCTGCTCCGAGTCTCAACACTGCATCATTAACACAAGCCCCTGCCTCACATGTGGGAGGGAGGAAAGCTTCAGGCCAAGGCAAAACCTCTGCACCCAACACAACCGTTTACATATTCATCACGATGTGTGAATTTTCACTTGCTCATCTTTTATACGAGACATTCTACGTATCCGATTGATTCTACGCTGTCTCTGAGGTGCTGTAGAGATCTTAAGGCTTCTTTTACTTCATTTATGCAACCGGTCCTTCAGAAAAGTCATACTCTGAGGAACAAAGAGTCTAATTTTTATTCATTAATAATAATAAACAAGTTGCTACAGTGAGCTTTACTTAAACATTAATCTGAAGTGCAGTGACTGTCGTTTTGTTAGCAAACACGTAACTTGGGTCCGTAACTCTGTCTGTCCAGCCTTGGAACGTCCTCCCGACGTGAAAGGTGCATTACAAATGTCACTTTGTTGTTGTTGTCGTGAGATGGACAACTGTTTTTGTCAGGGGTGATCTTGGATGAAGGAGCAATAATGGTCAGGACACCATCCTTCAATATAGTGCAGCGTTCATTGGAATCACCAGATCAAGCAAACTGCACGCACGTATACATACATGCATAGGCGCGCAGTTTTCAAGGTAGGATGGGGAGATGAAAGGGATAAGAGGAGGCAGACGAAGCCTGTTCAGACTTTGGCAAGATCTGTTTCCTAGCAGCAGGAGTCAAACCCATGATCAAATCAGTACGCTATTGTATCACATGATTTGAACTGCCACAATACGGTTTTATTTCATTGTGCACTGCACAGCGCTACCTGTGTGCACACAATATGTACGGACACGCTCCTCTTGTGGCCTGTTTTAAAAAAATAAAGTCTTTATCCTACAACTAAAACCAACGCAACGTTCTTTAGTGCACGGTGAGATCACAAGGCAGAAGATCTGGCCACTGTTTTAAACTGGTCATATTTTCCTTCCAGGAGAGAGTTCCCCTTTTCAACTGAATCAGATTCTAAAGGGGAAAAAAATAAGAACAGGTCCTGGAAAACCTCGGAGTATGTTCCAGATAGTGTTCGGGGGCAGTGGAGCGTGGGGTCAGCTGTCCCACTCGCCAGTCCGATACTCATCTTGCTCCTCGCTGTCTGAATCAGGAGACACTTTCTTCATCCGTGCCATAGCTGCCTTGATGCTGCGCTCCAGATCGTTGGCTGGATTGCTGCACGAGCGCTGGTTGGGGTCCAACTTGACCTTCCGCAATTGGACCCCTTGACGAATAGCGGTCAGCAAGTTATCCCTCATATCTTTGGGTTTGTCCAAGGCTGGCTGCTGCGACAGATCCACTTTTTTAAGTAAACTTTGGCCGCATTTCAAAGAAGCCAAGACAGCGTCCATCGATCCTGTCGAGAGAGAGAGAGAGATTCTGCTGTTTAAAGAGACCGTGTTACATTTCAACAACAACAAATTACATTTCTACAGCGGCTTTCACGTCGGGAGGATGTCCCAAGGCGCTGGACAATTAGGGATTTCATCCGAATAAAACCGGTTGAAAAAAAACACACCCTCGACTATTGTGGTACTGTAGTAAAACATGTACAATGTCAGGAGAGAAACAAAAAAAGGGCTTAAAGTAAATGCTGCTAGACACACAACACTTTGTGCTTTTGGTACTCGATTCAAACCGCACCACTGTTACTCTGTACAATACATTCGCAGAGTACTTTGAAGTGAAGAGCCCGTCAGCAGTGAGAGCCAGGTTGAAGTCATACTACACTTGCACATGTCTCAGAGCAGCAACTTGTAAAATCCTGCATTAAAGCAGTATGCAAAACACCAAACAGGCCAAGTTTCCTCTTTACATCCTCCTCAAGCTTTAGATGATTATAGATCATAACTAATGAGATTACACACACACAACCTCGAGTAGCTTTGAGGAGCTACACACAGATTATAGTTGGTTGAACAGCCTGGAAGGCTTACCAATTAGTGTCAACCGACTTTGCAAGTCAAAGTCATATTGGATAGGGCTGTGCTACAACAACTATTTGTATTTATCCAGCGCCCTTCACGCAGGGTGGTGTGACAGAACGCTTGACAGTGGCGGAGCACTACCCAAATACATGGTCCCTACATAAACAGTTCACATTCCGTTTACCTAGATTTGCTTTTGGGGATTTTTCGACTGAGATCAGGGGTTGAGGTTGATCATTGTCTGCTGTACTGATCTTCTTGTCCAGAATTGTGCGAGGCAGAGGCAAAGGCGGTGGGGGAGGGGGAGGCGGAGGAGGAGGGGGAGGTATTGCTACAGGAGCCACTTGGTTTGCAGTCAGGCCTGGACAGGTGGTAGCAGTTGCTGGGAGAGAGATCTGGACTGAGAATTCATTGGGATCTTTAGAGTTTTTCTTTGAAGCCTTGGTTCTGGCTGGCTTTTGGTGGTGAGGTTGTGCGGGAGAATAATCAATGATGGACAACGGTTGCTCTGACGGCTCGGACACCCAGTAGTTCTCAGTGGAAGACACGTCTTGCTTTTGCACGCTGAGACTCTGGCAACGAGGAGGTTTAAAGACAACGTGCCCAGATGATTTCTAGAATAAACGAAAACAAAATCAATACCAGAACCGCGAAAGTCAATAACAAAGCGAAATGGTACAGTTAATGCTAACAGATGCTTCATTCATTCATAATAATAATTGTTGCATTTGATATTGTGCCTTATCATGTCAATGAGACATCTCAAAGCACTTCATAGAGTATACTGTAACGTGGATTGACTGTATTTTGGGAGCGAAACGTGACAGCCAATTACGTACAGTTTGCAAAGTCAAGACAAAGAAAAAGATAAGGAATACTTTCCCTCCAAAGCTTGAGAACTCACTGGGGAACCTTCAGAGAAGCAAAGTACAAGCAGCAACCCTAAGTCGAGAAACTATTATGTTTCCACCATAGCCTCTGAGCACTGAAACCCACCGAGATTTATTATTATTATAAAATGGCCATCACCTGCTTGAACATTCGCAGCCTCTCCAAGGTCTTCTGGCGCTCCTGGTTGACAAATTCCCTCTTCTTTTTATTTTCCTCTTTCTTCTCATCTCGTTTCTAGGCAAAGGCAAAAAGATAACCTTTTAATGGACCCTGGGCAAACAGGTCTCACTTGCTCCCCTTGCTAACTGTGACTAGCGATTGCTTACCAGCTGAATACTGTGGTGCTGGTGGTAGTTTGCTTGGTTCATTTGATGTTGTTGCTCTTTCAGTTTCTGAGACTCCTCGCACTGATCCTGTTTAACAAGAAGCTACAGTTAATTCTTGTGGGAGAAGGAGCGGAATTAAATAATGGCTGTACCATGCCACTTTTTTGGAGTGAGGTGTAATGGACTGTAAGATTTCCAGTTAGATTGTTCAGAGTAAGCGAAGATCAGCACATCTAAGCAATGAATAAAGGGCAAGTCATGCCCTGCCCTTTTCATGTGTTTACTCGTAACAGCTGATTTGTAATAGACACCCTGGAAAGATCTGCTGACAGATCAATAAAGCACCAACTGTATTTTTTGGACCAATTTGCCAGGCTGTGCTCTGGGCAAACAGGACTGCATCCAGATAAGTCTCCATTCTTCACATAGACATAAAGCATCTCATCTATTCTTCAACCCAAACCCTCACTCTTCACTTATTCTCCCAGAGTACTCTCCCCACCACCGCCCCCCCAAAAGAGATCACTGGGGTCCAGAATGCAGGTTGGGCTAATAGCTTCCATATGTTCAAATGGATACATATGATGTTTATTACATAATTGATGGACCATGAAAAGGAGCAGAGGTGATACTGGAATTCTTCTCATTGGTGTGTTACATAATCAAGGTTAGCTGGAAGGCATCATATCCAGGAGCAACCCAGAGAGTGCAAAATTACTTCCTCATCAGCCTCGCCGGATTTATGTGGTGTTAACGCTTAGTTAGTCGTTCACCACAGCAGCAACAACTGCGATAAACCCTGTGTAGACACTTATAAGCACAAGGGTCTAATCTACAAGTGCATGAATGGGAGAGAAAAGCACAATAAATACTTCAAACTCAGTGCTAAGTTGTCCTCATCTTTCGAAGTAGCACAGATTTGCTGTTTGACACTTTGCCAGCTCCAGCTACTGATCAGCACCTCACGCAAAGTCTTGTACCATTTATGTTGAATAATTTCATTGTGGTTTTCCCGGGTCCCACTTCCACACCTCCTGAAGCACAATCAGTGGGACTCGGGGCAAGCTTTCTCTCCTCGTTGCCCCTCAGGAAGTGAGAAGGCTCTTACGCTACACTTTGTGAAATGCTAAATCTATGTTTCACAGCCAGAAACCATTGCAGTGTAGAGGGCAGAATTACCCGCTTGTTTCTCAGATAGGATCGTCTTGCACAGATGCGGCCTCGTTTGACCTCCAGCTGGTGAGTCTTGAGCTGCAGCTTCTTAATTTCATTTGAGCGAGTGTCGTGTGACAGCCCCAAACCACCAGTGACCTGCAGCTCCTCAGGGTCCTCGTACGTGTCGTAATAAACCACCTCGTCCTCTTTTTCTGGAAATGAACAATAAAGAATTAAGGAGTAAAAAAAACAACGCCTACAGATCATTTTTTTTCTAACGTTTCGGAATTCTACAGTACACACGGCTTTAAATAATTGGGTTACTGTAATCCAGGCCACGCGTGGAATTCGACAACAAATTAGATTTGTAAAGCGCCTTTCCCGTTGGGATAACGTCCCAAAGCGCCGGGACTTGGGAATTCAATCTCACCAGGGCTCGCATGGGAGTGCCTGATCTCCATGGACTTTCCTCAGGGATAGGTCTTTACCATTCTCATGGTTCTCATTCCATTACCATACAGTGAGCTACTCCTAGACGAATGAACAAAGACCTCAGTGCAGAGGCTGTAAGGGAATGATCGTGGACAGACTTGGCTCACCATTGATCTGTCGCCGAATGGTGTCCAGTTGCACGACAAGAAGCTGGTCCTCAAACTTCAACACTTCCAACTGTACACCATACAACTCCAACTGCGTCTGGTAATATCGCATCTCTAACATGTCCACTGCCTCAGTGGTTTCCACCTGGTCAAGGCACTCCATCTAGAATAACAGTAAGATTTCTTAAACCTTAAAAGAAAGGGAATAAGCATGCAACCTTTACTGGAACGTAAACCAAATCAGAAGCAACATCCCTGACAAAATAACTGCTGAAATTCCCAGTGTACACATCAATCATAGCTAATGCACAGTCAATTCACTTTACAGTATATTTTGTGAAGCGCTTTGAGTTGTCTTGAAGACGTGATACAACGCTATATCAAATGCAAGGATTATTATATTATATATGATTATTATTATATATGGGAAGTGGAGGCAGACGCTGAGGCTTTACTTCCTGGCCTGTGTAGCAAGAATTAAAAGTATCCTTTTTTTTAAAACGTTACCTTGCTCCGAATCCCTCCTTTCTCGCGGTTAAGGCAGAGTTCCTTCGCTCTCATGTACTGCAGTGTTTCCTTCACGAGCATAAACTTCAGTTTCTCCAGTCTGGGGACCACAGCAGCCCAGGCAGCTTTGCCAAAGCGCTTGCGATCTTGCTCCATCTGTTTCTGCATGGCTACAAGGGAAACACAGGGCGTTAAACAGAAATGCCAGGGTACTACCAGAGCCGGAGTAGAAATGTTCACCATTGATCGTTACTCATTAAGTCGCTGTATAAACCACCCAGCGGTTAACAATCCATTCCTGCTTGGGGAACAATGCTCCATCTCACTAGAGGGAGAGCATTCTGTTCGACCCAGAGATACTCCCCACTGGGTTTTACCTGTCAGTGCTTTGACGGTTTCTTTAAAGTAATCCACTGTTATATCCTGGATGGAGCAGACTGCCTCCTTCACCTGCTTGGACCACTGTGCTGCCTTTCTCTGCAGGCTTTCTATCCTCTTGGGACCCAAGTCGTCGAACTCTAAAGATTTCTGCAAAGGAAAGCAGGAGTTAGCTGCCCTTCAGTTACGATAAAGCAACAGCATCCTGATCAATCAGCACTGCACATTCCTTTAGACCATTTTTCTAAACTGTTCAGGTGTTGCAACGATTGAATCACTGTCAAAGATGATAGGGAACTAATAAGGGGAGGTCATAATCTAGTTGGAATATGGTGGCCTTGTTTCTGGTTAGGGAAGAGAAGGGAAGCATATACAGTACGCCTGGATCAGAGCTGATGGGAAGACATTTTCTCTGTCACTCCTTGCCACTGGGTGGAGCAGTTTCCATTGCATTAAAACATTCTTGCACATTGAAGAAGATTATAACTGAGCAGTTGAATACATCTAAACTAATATACAGTGCGTGGGAACCATTCCGGGGCAACATCGCTAATAAAGGATTTCAAAGGACATCACAAAACCACAGTGCTCAAGTCACATTACAAAACCACTCACAGGTGTCCCGTTTAATGTTAGGTCCTGCAGAGCTGGTAAAACCAATATAACTAGATTCTCAGCGAGCTTGTGGCTCAGTGAAACTCTTGATTTAGAAATTAAAAGGCATGATTTGAGAATTGTAATCACAGTATTACCAAGTGTGCAATTACAGGACTATCAAGAAATGAGTTAGTTAGAGATGCTCATAAATGAATATAAATGCAACATAGCATTTCTCCAAACCCAATTACACTGACTTAATAAGATGCAGAAAGTTGAAGATTGTAATTCTGCCCAAGAGACCCAGTAACAGATCGGCTGCATAGCAAATTCTATTACTTGGAGTTACAGCATAACTGTAGTTTAGTCAGGTTTGCCATCTTGTGACAAGAGCAAAGCATTACACAATACAGTTGAGTCACCTGGAAGTGTCAACTTTCTGAACGCATTGCCCTCAGTGCCTTTATGTGGGATTTAGAGAGAGAGGAGACTTTCAGCCCATCAGCCTGGACGGGGTGGGATTCACATTATAAACAAAATACGCTCTGTCGATGTTTTGAGCGGATTACCAAGATTTCCTGTTTGTACAGTAGAGCAAACTCCCGCATGTCCCGGAACGGTTGCAGTAAGTACTGGTAATACTGCATCGCCACAGTCACCAGCTCCTGGTAAGCGTCATCTTCTTCTTGATATATCCTTCTGAGAGTCACCATGTCTTTAGCAGTGTTATGCTGGTGAAGGACCTGGAAGGATTAAGAAATAGAATCCATCAGTGAGATTTTCTGTCGCAACAATAAAGTATATTTTACTTAATAAACTACTTGCTCCCAAAATTCATGGACTAAAGCACAACAATGGCTTGGCATCACAGTAAAAACTCAAGAATTGTAACATGACAGAATTTGCACCCAAGGACTCTTTAATTCCAATAGTTGGGATGTCTGCCCTCATGATTTTAATTCAACATCGACATGTCCAGGCAAAAATCTAATCAGATGTATTAATATGATACAATCTCACTACATGCTCCAAAACAACTCACACTTAAACACCACTTTTCACGTGGGCTGAGCGGAGTATAGTGGCCAAAGACTCTTTTTTTTAAATCCGACTATTCAGTCCAGTTCTCTCCCACCCCCCGCCACCCCATTATATGTAGCACATAAACTTCCAGTCCAAACACACTCTATAATCAGTAAATATAGCTGGCTGACTGATTCACATGACAGCCAAAGTAGAACTAGGACTCAAATATGGCAAGAAATTTTCACTGATCGTATTTCCATCGCACAGCAAGTAATCTCAGCAGAGCAACTGACCCCACGTGTTGCATTTTGGTAGCTTACGATTTCACATCACAAGACGGCCAGGCACACACTTGAGCTGTCACGTACGTTCTCCATCACACAGTACAGCATTTAGAACGCTGGTCAGCAACTTTCTGGTGAAGGGAGATCTCTTTACCGTTAAAGGGCAACACTTTGTAATTTCACTGCTTCATAAAAACAAATAATTCCTGCGGCATTCTTGAACCCTTCAGCCGCTGAAATACTGTACAAATACATCAGCTGCTCTGTGGACCGCCCCAAAAGACACTTCCAACACAACTCTGTCAGAGGCCTGACCTCTTAACAACTCGTGGTACAGGGTTTGTTCGAGCTAGAAATAACATGATAACTAAAGGCTCAGAGTTATAACAACATGAGGGATAAGATGGAAACACCACTGTAGGATACAATCATAGCTCACTCCTAGCACTGACCCTAACAAAGACATGTTTTTGCCTCAACTGTCAATCTGTCAGGCAGTCTGCATTATAAAATTCAAGTCTCCTCAACACCCACCTTGGACAATATTCAAGGCTCTTGCAATGCCTTATCCCGCATCCGGACACATGCCTGCGGCACTGTTAAAAAGCTTTCATTTTAAGCGCTGCATGTTTCTGAATGCCATGCAACTCAAGTGCTCCATTGCGTGCATCGCAAAGGGACGCGTTTGCCGAGCGAGGGTTTCTTGCTAACAACGGGTCCCTGGATCACTGAATTAATCGCCGGTCGGAATCAAAAATGCCTTAATCAACGATTACTGACTCCATCAATATCTGCATACAAAAATCCCTGGGTAAATACTGCACTAACATAAAACCCTCTTGTAAATATCCCTATTTTCACTTTTTTTTTCTAAAGGGCACGATTTTAAAAACACATTTGCAAAAAAAAAAAAAAGCACGTGTAGCAGGTTGGCTACCAGTGTGGGCTAATAGTTTAGTTTGTGCTGGATGTTCTCTACCCGCCTCAAATTCAAACAGCCAATTTTAAATTTTTTTTTGAACTGAAACCTACGAGTTTTTTTCTTTCTTCCCCTCTGACGAGCTTTTCCGAAGAGTCTGGAAAAGCACCAACCCCAAAACTGGACCCTCGCGACCCGTCAGGGGCAACGCATAAAAGGCATAGAAGGAAAATTCTTGAGTCCTTAATAAAAGACGTAGTTATGGGATACCTGGAAGACCATAAAAAGATTAGGCAGAGTCAACATGGCTTTACAAAAGCGAAGTCATGCTTGACTAACCTTTTAGATTTTTTGAGGATGTATCTGCAGGTTGGATAAGGGGGAACCAGTAGATGTGGCATATTTGGATTTTAGGAAGGCATTTGACAAGGTGCCACACAAGAGGCTGTTACTCAAGATCAAGGCCCACGGGATTAATGGGAAAATATTAACACGGATAGAAGAGTGGCTATCGGGTAGAAGGCAGAGAGTAGTGATAAATGGATCATTCTCGAATTGGCAGGAGGTGACCAGTGGAGTGCCACAAAGATCAGTGCCTCGGCCTCAGCTATTTACCATTTACATCAATGATCTGGACGAGGACATTGAATGTAATGTGTCTAAATTCGCGGACGATACTAAACGACGTGAAAAGCGCTATATCAAATGCAAGGATTATTAAACTCGGCAGCAGAGTGAGCTCTCAGGATGATGCAAAAAGATTGCAACAAGATATAGATAGGCTCGGGGAGTGGGCAAGTAGGTGGCAGATGGAATTCAATGTTAGCAAGTGTGACATTATTCACCTTGGTAGCAAGAATAAAAGAACAGATTATTTTCTGGAAGGGGAGAAGTTAGATAGAGTTAGTATTCAAAGGGATTTGGGTGTCCTTGTACACCAGTCCCAAAAAGTTAATTTGCAGGTGCAGCAGCAACTAAGAAGGCGAACAGCAGTTAGCGTTCATTTCGAAAGATAATATTTAGAATATAAGAGTAGGGAAGTCTTGCTGCAACTGTATAGGGCTTTGGTGAGACCGCACCGAGAGTATTGTGTGCAGTTTTGGTCTCCTTATTTAAAAAGGGACATACTCGCCCTCGAGGGGGTGCAGTGTAGATTCACTCGGTTAGTTCCTGGGATGAGGGGACTGACCTATGAGGAGAGGCTGAATAAACTGGGGCTGTAATCTCAAGAGTACAGAAGAATTAGGGGAGATCTTATTGAAACATAAGATTTTTAAAGGGCGGATAAAGTAGACACTGAGGGTCTGTTTCCCCGGTGGGAGAATCTATAACCAGGGGTCACAGTCTGAAAATTAAGGGTCAGCCTTTTAGAGCAGAGTTGAGGAAACATTTCTTCACTCAGAGGGCAGTGAACTTATGGAATTCACTCCCCCAGAGGGCTGTAGATGTCAGTCCTTGAACATTTTCAAGGCTGAGACTGATAGATTCTTGAAAAATAGAGGGATTAGGGGACATGGGGATAGGGCAGGTAATCAGAGTGAGGGGAGAAGATCAGCCATGATCTTATTGAATGGTGGAGCACAGGCACGAGGGGCCGAATGGCCGACTCCTGCTCCTAATTCTTAGGTTCTTACGTAACAACAACAGAATCGCTCACTTCGATCCCCCGGCGGTTCGCGGGGACGCTGCCGCGCGCAGATCGGCCGCCGCCTTCCACCCGGGCGCTCGGCGCGGGGGGTGTGTTGCGCAGAAGCGCTTCGGGGAGGCGTCCGGGTGGGTGGGGGAGAGGCGTCCGGGTGGGTGGGGGGAGGCGTCCGGGTGGGTGGGGGGAGGCGTCCGGGTGGGTGGGGGGAGGCGTCCGGGTGGGTGGGGGGGAGGCGTCCGGGTGGGTGGGGGGAGGCGTCCGGGTGGGTGGGGGGAGGCGTCCGGGTGGGTGGGGGGAGGCGTCCGGGTGGGTGGGGGCGCAGACCCTCGCGCTTTTTTTTGAGGTAGCGCACCCGCCCGGTCGAGCGTACCCCCAAAGCCACTGGCATCGTATATTCCCCACCCCCCCTGTCCCCCCAGCCCCCCACCCCCCACACAGCCCCCACTGCTCCCCACCCGCCCCCACCCCCCACACCCCCCCCAGGGCGCACCCAGCAACCACACGCCCGGGTACCCAGCCCCGGGGCTCACCCTCCTCAGGCTGTCCCGGCCCCGGGCCACTTGCCCCTCGAGGCCCCTCTTGCGGAACTCGTGCAGGTTCTCGAAGTACTCGTCGTGGTCGGCGTCGGCCGAGGAGAAGAGCGAGTCGAGGACGACCTTCCGGCCGCACAGGTCGACGGCGGCGCCCAGGTACAGCTCCAGCCGGCGGCAGACCCCCTCCAGGCCGGCGGCCGGGCCCGGGCCGCCCGCCTCCGCCGCCTCCGCCGCCTCCTCGGGCAGCGGCCGCCCGGGGAAGAGCAGGCCCCACAGGCCTCGGGGCCTCAGCTCGGGCAGAGCCGGGAAGCAGGGCTCCAGGGCCCCGCCGCTGACGGCCACCCAGTGCCGGTGCAGGTTGCGCAGGTCCAGCGGCGTGTAGAGCCCGGCCCAGCTGGTCTGGGCCCGAGCCTCGGGCTCGGGTGCGTCCCTCTGCCGCTGGAGGGTCCGGTTGTGGCAGGTCACCGCGAACTTGCCTTCCGCCTCGTTCCAGGCGGCCAGGAAGCCCAGGCGGAACTTCTCGGCCTCGTCGAACAGGTCGTCCTTGACGGCGACCCACCCCTCCAGGCTGTCGGTCCGCTCGCTCGCCATCGCCCCCTCGTCGTCGTCCGCTCTCTGTCACTCTCTCTCTCTCCCTCTCCGCCGCCGCCAGCGTCAGCCTCGTCTGACGACGGCCGCCATTGCTCCCGCCGCGCGCAGGGCGTTTTGTAGCCCAATGTCACCCCCCAACACGAGCCCAGAAGTAGCCCAACGCCCCGCCTCCCGCGCCCGCGCGCCGGTGATGACTAAGCCCCCAAAAGTAGCCCAACGCCACGCCTCCCGCCTCCCGCGCCCGCGCGCCGGTGATGACTAAGCCCCCAAAAGTAGCCCAACGCCACGCCCTCCCGCCTCCCGCGCCCGCGCGGGTGATCACTAGCCCCCAAAGTAGCCCAATATTCTCCTCCTCCTCCTCATCTTCTTTATCATCATCATCATCATCATCATCATAATAATTTTTTCCGCTTGACGCCTTTTCCGGGCGGCGTCGCAGGGCTTCGCAGGAAGAATGGCGTCAAGCGATTTCGAACCCGGGCGGAACGCCTCCCAGCAGTCGGCAAAAGTGGAGCGCGGACCGGGTGGACTGTCCCGGTCAAACAGTCAGACAGTCACGTTAGACTCCGGACAGTCAACCGTGACTCAACAGCACCAGGCAACTCCCCGCACTTCGTCCGCAAAATTTGCCAAGTTCCCCGGCACGAACCGTGCCCAGAGTAAACTCCGCCCGTGATAACAACCCGCCTTCCGCACACCGCGCCCACCCTACACTGTACCACATCCATCACGTACCGCCCGACATGTACCAGTCCCATCAGAAACCCATTTGCCATAAACCGCACTCGCCAAAAAACACGTTCGCCCACAAATTTACAGTCAATTCACTTTACAGTGTGTTCTGTGAAGCGCTTTGGGACGTCCTCCCGACGTGAAAAGCGCTATATCAAATGCAAGGATTATTATTATTATTATTATTATTATCACACCCCACGAGCCCATTTAATCCCATTTTCCAGCTGTTCTCCGATATCAGTTCCTTTTTCATGGATTCAATCGCCACGTATGTAGGGTAATGAATTCCGAACCTTATTCCTACCCTGTTCTCATGGGTCACGACATCTGCCACGGGCTATTTATTTTCCGATTCGCGTCTCTGAGATTCGTAAGGGCTTGCCACTGAGGTAGCTGTAATGTGCACTACAATAAATAATAAAAAGTTTAAATACTATAAGGAAAACGTTTAACTAGTCTGTTTGTTGGTTCGGGTGGTGCTTGTGAAACGCTCGGAATGGGAGGAAAGGCTGTTCTGAAGGTCATTTTCACTGTCACCAGCTGTCACTGCGTGTTGGTGCATCGCTAGGAACAGGATCCAAAGCGGAGCTAAATATACCCCGCCGATCCTTCTCCAAACCGGAGAAGCGAACAAGATAGAGAGAACGAGGGAGAAAGGAGGGGGAACAAGACAGAGGAAACGAGAGAAAATTGAATAGAGAGAAAGATGGTGATAGAGTTCAGAGGTGCATAAAACATAAAATCTACAAATACAGACGACCGAAGAGGTAAGCAGTCACCTGTTTGTGAACGAAATGCAATTTCAATCATTAAAGGAGTCTCGTGTAGTTTGTACAGCTATAAAGTTGGATTTCAAATAGGCAATTGCAGCCTTACAAGGGCAGGAACACATTTTAAATATGTACTGTAAATTTACATCTAAATGTCACATCTTTGTATCATTTCCCTTCGTCCTCGCATAAACCTCAATGTGGCGTTGAGGGTATTAACTCTTTGTGTTCCAATGGGATGGCATTTTCTAGGAATCCTGTTAAGCAATACAGCAAAATTAGACTTGCTGGTTACATAAAATTTCAAAGCTGCTTCATCAAAGTGCTCAAACAAAAAATTGTGTTGTTTCTGATCTCAGCTTTTTTTTTATGCAAATCATTTTTATTGATTGCTCTGTCAGTCCAGATGGATCCATGTTGCATTCTCGGGTTTGGGTAGGGGAGGGCTGTTGCTGAGCGTTTCTTGCACTGTTACTTTATACCGTCACCATCTGTTGGCAATTGCTGCCTCAAGAATATTTGTAAGGAAATGGCGTCAGAGTTAGTAAATCCCAGCTATGCTGCTGAACCTTGAGTGAGAGAGCAAAGAGAGGGAAATGAAACAAGACAGAAAGTAACAGGGCTCAGTGAGTACAGCATTTCAGAGCTGAACATCAGACCATAAGAATTGCTACACCAAAGAAGACCAAGGTCCATCCAGTTCACCTACCACCATCCTGGCAGTCACATGCACATGTCATGTCCCAAACTGTACACTGTACTGAACAAGGATTGAGTTACTAAGTGACTCCCTTAACCATAGTATAACAAACATAAATACATTATTTGTTTCCATTTGTAGTGGACTGACCTGGAAAAAGCATCCGAAGTGTAAGTGTCTTGGGTGATTCGCAAAGACATTGACCTATCTCACACGGAAAAAAACTATTGTTTCCTTGTGAAAGATGGAAAACACAGAGGAAGTAGATCAACCCACCCAACAGGGGGGAATTAGCAAAGAAATTGAGGGTCCCAACCAACTGCTCCCAAGTGAGGTTGCCTTGACACCCGAGAATACATCCCAGGATCTCAGTGCAGAAGAGATGGTATCAGAAGGATTTCAGTTCTATCACATGGACCTATATGACGAGCCCATTGAGGGATTAGGGATCTTCAGCCACAATTTGGCCACAGATAAGCAATCAGACAGCAGAGAAAAGGCCGAGGCCATTTCACCGTGGGTCCAAGGTGCTGAAGAGAATTGGGAGCAGGACAAAGAACGGAAGTCACCTCCTATCAAGGAATACAACATCTATGATGAAGATGAGCGTTGTGAACCTTTACAGGAAGACTTTACAAGTGGTGGGAATAGACTGGAACTCCCTAAAACTCTGGGGGGATTTGATCCCTTCCAGCAAATAGTGGATTATTCAGAAAGCATGAGTCAGTTCAGCGACCGGGTTTTCAGCCCACTGTCAGACCGGAGTCTGGGTGGTTTTGAGGAGTTTGAGTCTCTTAGCTTTGCAGCCAAGGAAGTAGATGATGAGGCTGAAACGCAGAATGATCTCGGTCTCCCGGATACGACAGAATTGGAAGATCAAAACGTCTCAGAGGACATCACCCCTGATATTTATTGCCAGGCCTGCAATGTCCCCATCCCTGCATTTGAAAAGCTATTTGGCTCCCACAAGAACCATGAAGTGACCACACTGGCGAGTGCAGCAGAGGAAACCAAGGTATGGAAGCAGACGTGGAGTCCTGTAGCGTGTTGGTTAGAGAGCTCGCTTCGCAAGTAAGAGGACCCGGGTTTGATTCCCGGGCTGGGCGAAACCTGAGGCAATCTTACTCCAGACACCTCTGTTTACCTAGCAGTAATCAGGGACCTAATTGTTAGTTGATTGGCAGATTGCTTTTCCGGGAATAATAATTTTTTAGAAAAAAACTAATTATATGGTCACTGAATCCACAACTGTTTGTGGGACACTGCTGTGTGCAATTGGCTGTTGCGTTTCGCCCACAAAATGCACAGTCAATTCACTTTACAGTATATTCCATGAAGGGCTTTGAGACGTGATGAGGCGCTATATCAAATGCAAGGATTATTATTATTATTATATTAGATCAAAATGACTTTCCGGTAAGAATCTAAGTTACAGCACAATTTTTTCTTCGTTAAGGCTCCACTGTCTGATTCCCTTCACACTTTTTGTCTTCCTTTCTGCAGTCCGAGTGCCAAGGCAATTTGAGGAAGCTGGAGCAGCAAATTATTCAGATGGAGACGTTTGCTAATCAAATGGAAGAGATCTTCATCACTGTGGAAGTAAGATCGTGACTGTCGCTCAGAAACGGCGTCCACCTTCATGGCGTTGTCCGTCGATATTTAATCTACTTTTCACCTTACTTTGTGACAGAGGAGAACTATGGAAGAACAAGATCAAATAGATTGCATGGTTTGCTTCATTCAAATCTCTCATGTGCTTTTATAATATTGATATTATGAGATCGATAGACTGAGATCGATAGATTTTTAAGACAGAGATCGATAGATTTTTAAAAACTAAAGGGTTTAAGGGATATGGGGATAGGGCGGGTAAATGGAATTAGGTTAGAAGATCAACCATGATCTTATTAAATGGCGGGGCGGGCTTGAGGGCTGAATGACCTACTCCTGCTCCTATTTCTTATGTTCTAATATTCTTATATATGTATTACAACAACAACAACAAATGACGTTTGTATTTCACATCAGGAGGACGTCCCAATGGCAAAACAGTTACAATGGCAAAACATCTCACAGTGCTTCTCGGGTCATTGCTGTCGAGTGCAGTCAATGGATATTTGTCGGCAGCCAATTATTGCACAGCGACATCCCACAGACAGCCATGAAGTCAATGATCACGTAATCTGTAGGATTATTGGACAGGACACTGGGAGTGGCGTCTAATTTACCATTACACTCCAACAGGAAAACTTTGGCAAACAAGAACATTACGTGGAGCTGCAATATGATGACCTGATGCAGTTCCTGGTGCAACGTTATGAGGACAGGATTCAGAGCCTGGAGGAGCAGAAGGAACAGAAACTGGAGAAGCTGTATGCGGAGCTGGTCCATTCCGGGCAGCGCATTGATTCCTATAAAGAACTGATGGAATCTACCGAGGAGGTGTGCAGGTCCGCAGGCAATGAAGCCTTTTTGAAGGTAAGCTCCTAATTGTAGGTTTCCGAGATGATTTTACTGTATTTGTAAGTTGATTTGTAGTTCGGTGGTTACTGCGCTCTACTCGCCAGCGACAAGACCTGCGTTCGATTCGACGGTGGGATGAAACCGTAGGAAAATTTCGATTGGCGGATCACTATATCAAATGCAAGGATTATTGTTATTATTGTTGTTTGATTAATTTGATTTGATTCCAACTGACTTATGATGTTGAACGAGGGCAAAAAGCACTTCACACATGAGCTAGTTTCAAGAGTGGAGACTCTGGGCAAAAGTGTCAGTTAACTGCAACCAACTTTTCGATAACACAGTGAAAATACTAACTCATGGCAAGCAATAATTCTGATTCTTCTCCTTTGCTCCATCAACAGGTTGGAGGTGCTACGCTGGACAGGTATGAGGCACAGCTCAAAGCAGGTTGTGTTCAATCCATCAGCTTCTCAGCTCTTCATTTTATTTTCCTGATTGGTCTTTGCCATGTAGCCAGCTCTGGGCTCCTGGCATCTCTACTTCTAATTAATAAATAATTATATTTATATTCATAAGAATTATTAATATTATTAATAATAATATAACTGATGAGAAAAGCAGATTATTAAAGGCATCCATCCTCAGGTTCTCCACTGCCTCTTTTCATCACGTTTAACCCGATTTTGCCGCGATCCATTCAACAGATTGGAAGAGTTTCTCCAAGAGGACGTGAGCCTGGAACTTCCCACCACAGCAGAGTTCGAGAAATTCCCGACAGACACGTCAGAGGTGCAGCAACTGATAGACTCGATCAACAGTATGCCAGGTACATACCGCACATACACACTGTAGGTCAGTGTGACACTTATGTGTACACGTTGTAGGTGATACTCACACATCTACACACTTGCAAAGGCAAGTGACACACAGTGACTGTTTTTTTAATATAAGCAAATGAATAAAGACCAAATCAAGTGAGAATAATGGGTCTGGACATGGACAGGACCCCCTCCTCACCTCCACCAACACTAACCTGCCCTCCTGACATGAGCCCCCGACCCCCCCCAAACACCCCTCCACGTAAATCCTTCAGTCTGACAGAGCGTAACTCAGCCATCACTCTCCCTGTAACTTGTTTCCCGTGTGTTTGCCTGGCAGCACCCTCCCCTCCCTCAATGTCTCCTCAGACGCCTGACACAGCCATGACCACAGCCGTGCGTGTCTGCTGGAGCCTCTCGGCAGATGACACAGTGGATTATTACCAGCTTTACTACATACAGCTCCCTCAAGCCGGCGCTCAGCAGGAGAGCAAGGGACCAACAGGTATGTTACCATATACACATGTTTCCTAACAACTGCACAATACCCTCTTCTGATGCACATACATTTCCTCATTTGTCCCATTCCCAGCTCATACGTTTGTAAACCTGTAAGTTAATTGTAGCAGCAGAATCACTATAATAATAATAATAATAATTATTGCATTTGATATCCATATCATGTTGAGACATCTCAAAGAGGGTCACAGAATATACAGTAATAATAATAATAATCCTTGCATTTGATATAGCGCTTTTCACGTCGGGAGGACGTCCCAAAGCGCTTCACAGAACACACTGTAAAGCGAATTGACTGTCTATTCTGTGGGCCAAATGCGGCAGTCAATTGCACACAGCAGGGTTCCACAAAGAGTCATGGAGTGAGTGACCAAATTATTATAATACTCTTTGAAGGGATTATTACCCCCGGAAAAGCGATCCACCAATCGACTAACAACCGGGTTTCTACTTACTGCTGGGTAAACAGAGGCGTGTGGAGTAAGGAAACTTGCCTAAGGTTTCGCCCTGCATGGAAATCGAACTCGGCTCCTCTGGCTTGCGAGGCGAGTGCTCTAACCATTGAGCTACAGGACTCCACAATTCCTGGGCTGCGTAGTTAGAATATCACGAGGGTTTTGTAGCTTTCAAGTAATCAGCAACGACTTGGGACATCCTCCTGACGGGAATGGCGCTATACAAATGTAATTTGTTGTCGCTGTTTGTTGTTGTTACAGCCTTTGATGGTGGCTTTCTAGCCGTCTTGCCAATGACCCAGTCTACCACCCGGCTATAACCGCCATCTCTCTTGCCTCCCACTCCTCCTCAGATTTAGACACATCCCTGAAAGTGAAGGAAACGTTCTGCACCGTGAGCGACCTGCAGCCGGGCACGCTGTACGAATTTTGGGTCACAGCCACAAACGGCAGCGGCACCAGCGGGGCAAGCGACAGAGCCGTGTACACCACAGGTAAACACCACCGTCACCGCTGGCACGTGACACGCTCACCAGCAGCCTCACCGGGATTCTGCCTGGGTCAACAAAACACCAATCTGTCTTTAGACGGTGAGGTCTCAGTGGTGGTGAAAGACCAAACAAACTTCCTCGTGTACTGTGTGTTTCAGTTGCTGTGCCGCCCGCCATCAAGAGCAGGGAGTGTACCTGGTGTCAGGATGCAGCGTCCATCCAGTGGGAACCGGCGGCTGGCAGCTCCGTCCAGTCTTACACGGTGGAATTCTGCCAAGTGTGCTGTGGCTGCGACTGGACCGAATCCATCACAGAGTGAGCAGGGACTGGGCCCCGATGGTGAAGTAGAGCAAATAGATACAGATCATGGGCACAGGTGTGAGGACCAGGTCTGTCGTTTGTCACCCCCCACCGCCACCGCCACTCCACCCTCCACCCTATCCCATGTAAATACAGAGAGATAGGACTCAGTCTCTCTCAACCCCTGAGTCCTCAACAAGCCAACAGCAGTTTATTGTATTTAGAGAAAATCCCAAACAAAATCCATAATGGAATCCACCAGCAAGGTTGAATTTGAGGCTAAAGAGAAAGGGAGAAGAGAGCTGCAGTTCAAGAGGGTGGTTCTCAGTATGAGCTACATTGTCCGACATTCGTATAGAGATGGACATTGCTCTGAACAGTGTAGAAATTCATTCTAACTTCCTGTCAGACTTGGGAGCCATTCTCTCATTTGAACTGTTTGCTTTCTGTAGGTCGATGGTGGGCATCACGTCATGTAAAGCAGTGATACAACTGGAACCATTACAGAGTTACCTCATCTACGTCAGGGCAGTGAACAAAGGCGGCTCCAGTCATAGGAGCCAACCCATCACTATAAAAGCTGCGGGTGAGTTCCCGTCCTGACCTGGGTCACGGGAAGATTTCAATCACACAGTAATGTTACCCTCGGACAGGCACTAACTCTGTGGTCAACCTCCAGGCGAGAGTGACTACAGCCAATACCATCGTAACTGACCAAACAATCATCCAACCAACCAAACAAACAGACAAATTGCATTTTATAGTACCATTCACACCAGGAGGACATCCTGAAGTGCTGACCAGTTGAGGGTTTGCACTCGAGCTGGGGGTTGGATTTGAGGGGTTTGGGGGGCGGTCAAGAGCGGTGGGGGGCGGGGGGGGGGGGGAACTGCAGGTTTGTGAGTGGAAATACAATCATTTTACACTGTAACTATTGAAACTAGCTCTGCGTTTATCTCCAGTCAGGGTTACACTAACCAATTGAAACAATAGAGGTTAAGATGGAACATTAATGCACAATTAATTAATATTATTAATTAATATTATTTTTAAATTAATTAATCATTTTTTTAAAAAAATTGATTAATTAATAAACAGTAATGTACACACACAGTTTTTGTCATAAGAGAACACGCCATGTTACAATATAACTGTCAGTTTTGGTCCGATCTGAGAGGCTTTAACGTGGATTGAGCTCGTTGTGGGTGGAGATGGGAATAGTCTGGTGAAATCTCTCCATTGTAGGGACCTGCCTTTACCTGAATGAGAGCACTGCTCACCCATCCCTCTCTATTCTGGATGATGGCTTGACGATCGTTTACAATGAGGAGGAGGAAGCGATATTGACTGAAGTTCTGAAATACGAAGATAGGTTTACAAGGCAAGTCAGATATTAAGCATTAAAGTCTGTTGATTGAATGATCATATTCTACAGCATTAGACTGTTGCTCTGTTCACTCTGACTCTATCCTTGCTATGGTAGTTACCAGTCACTCAGCGTACAATAATAATAATAATAATAATAATAATAATATCCTTGCATTTGATATAGCACCTTATCGCGTCGTTGAGATATCTCCAAGCGCTTTCCAGAATATACTGCATACTGTAGTGACTGTGTATTTTGTGGGAGAAACATCTCGATCTCATGTCTCCCGGCAGATGCCTCGCTGTGCTGGGGGAGCTAACTCCTGTCCGAGGGAAACATTACTGGGAGGTTGAGGTGGAAGAAACCACAGAATATCAGATTGGGGTCGCTTCACCAGATACACCTCGAGACGGCTATCTCGGCACAAACATCACATCATGGTGCATGAGACACATCTTTACTCCGTCCAGGTATGCTTGAGACCCCATGGTGCCATTACACCCAATCTTTAGCTCATCATTTGATGTGGAACACATAACCTCGAAACATCGACACACGCTTGACAGGTAATTGCAACTGCGTATTTTGTAGATTTGCAACAACAACAACAAGAAGATTCCATTTATAGAGCGCCTTTCACGTCGGGAGAACGTCCCATCAGGACCCGAGCAGGGGGGAAATGGTCAGGGTGAGGGGAGGGAAGGGAGGGAGCGAGGAGGGGGTAAAGAGTCGAGAGGGGAGCTGAAGGCACGGTCAAAGAGAAAGGTCTTGAGACCGGCCTTGAAGGAGGAAAGGGAGGAAGCGGCGAAGGCACTGGGGGATGGAGTTCCAGAGCCTCGGGGCTGAGAGGCTGAAGGCACGGCCACCGATGGTAGGGCGGTTGGAGCGGGGGATGTGGAGCAGACCGGAGCCAGAGGAATGGAGGGTACGGGCAGGTAGGTAGGGGGATAGTAGGTCAGAGAGGTAGGAGGGAGCGAGGCCGTGAATGGCCTCGTAGGTGAACATGAGGATCTTGAATTCGATCCTCTGGGGGATGGGGAGCCAGTGGAGGCGAGCGAGGGTGGGAGTGATGTGGTCCCGAAGCCTGGTGCGGGACAGTACACGAGCTGCAGAGTTCTGAATGACCTGCAATGTGGAGGGAGGGCCGGGAAGGCCGGCGAGGAGAGATTTCCCGTAGTCCAGCCTTGAGGTGCTAAAGGCGTGGACCAGAGTTTCAGCCGCGTGAGGGGTGAGGTAGTGCCGTAGTCTGGCGATGTTCCGGAGGTGATGCAAAGAGTAACGTCTCATGAATAGTGCCTGTGTTGGCTCTCTGAAGAGCGATGCATTTAGTCCCCTGTCCCTTTCCCCCCACACTCTATTCTACGTTCCATTGCTGCAGTTTCAATGGAGGCATTTGCTGGTTGTGTTATTTTTTCTTCACTTAAAACCTGCAGGAGGAAGTTTGTGTTTCTGCACAGCGGTGTGGCAGCAGACCTGCGGATCACAGTCCCCCCCAGAAGAATCGGGGTGCTGCTGGACTACAAAGCGGGGAAGCTTTCCTTCTTCAACACCGACATAGCGCAGCACCTCTTCACTTTCTCAGACCCCTTTCGCAATTTCGTCATGCCCTGTTTCGCTTTGGAGAAACCCGGAGCTTTGAAAATTCACCACTGCATGCCTCTGCCCGATTATGCCAACTTTGCATAAGAATTTACTCGTAGGTTAGTTGTGATATCCGTTAGGAGGGGTTGATGGTGCGCGTGTGTGCATGTATGTATGTGTGTGTGGGGTGGGGGAGGGGGTGGCGTTTACCTTAATAAAATTTTTTAAAAAAAACTCCCACACAAAGTGCAATAATTCGCCACTGATGGAATCATTGGTCAGCAACAATAATAATAATAATAATAATAATAATAATCCTTGCGTTTGATGTAGCGCCCTATCACGTCTTTGAGACGACTCAAAGCGTGTGAATTGACTGAATATTTTGTGGGCGAAACACGGCAGCCAATTGCGTCCCAGAGTGTGTTGAGATGCAAGTCGTAATGCAATCGTTCTACCATTGCGGTACCTTCTTTCTGCCACCAGATGCCTCTGATGGGCCATTAGTGGAACACTACCCCCAGGGACATTAAACAGGTGATGCATCACTTCAGTTTACTCCACAGGTCCTAGATACTTAGCACTGTTGTGTTCATCTGCCGCACTTCATCACATCTCCCTAACTCACATAGAAACACGCAGCTCTCAGAGCTGTGACATCCTCTGCCCCCACACTCCTTTCACAGTAACACCAATGGCGGTGATAATCATTTTGACGTGGGTGCACACGTCTGTTAAACATCAATCACTCTCTGTTCCCTCAACAAAGGAAAAGTCAAACAACTTCTCGCAAGCTGATCCAAGCGAAAAAAAACCATCAGCCGTTAATTCACTGTCAGATTAAATGCAGAAGTAAAATTCAGTGCCTATTAATTTTGAAATGTCTCAAAGATACTAGGGTTAGTGACTGTGCATTCGTAGGCAAATGTGGCAACCAGTTTGCTCCCAGCAAGGTTCCACCCAGAGGTTGAAGTGAATGACCAACTTATCAGGTGGGTCGTTGGCCTGGGCTCCACAGCACATTCTATCTCCAGAATCCGTCCTTTATTTTCACAATCTTTTCTTTTCTGCATCAGTGGTTTAGACCCGCTAATAGTGGAAAAACAAAGGCCTAACTGTACATTTCTGTCTTTAGTTCAGAGATGGTCTGACTGAAGTTTATGATTTGAGAGAAATCACTTGTGTCACTTATTGTCAGAATTTGCCTGCGGCAGCTGCAGTTCCCATACTTTATCTGTAGGATCGTATTAATTTATCACATTGATGTTAATTCAATGTGCTGCAATGCATGATGTGGGTAGCATGCTGACAAGAAGGGGGAACTCGGTAACAGCACACATGGCTGTTTGGTTAGTGCAACCTTTGAATCTTCAAATGATAAACCCAGGAGAACAAGAACAATGCACAAGTACTCAGTGACAATTTTGTTAAGTTCACCCACACGGACTGTATAAGTGCATCATCAGGACATCCTCCTAACACGAAAGGCGCTATATCAATGCAATCTGTTGTTGTTTTCTGTGGTACCCTCAATGCACACTTTGGGATGTCCAAGCTTTGGCTCTTACCCACCTGCTCCTAAACTCTCTGTGATTAGCTAAGCAAGGAGTGTGCCTCCAGGCAGAGAGAGTGTCCTCTATAGTGACGGACTTCCGCGTGTCAGACACCCGTTGATTGAAACAAGATGATTCATCCCCCCAGGAAGGGGTCAACCCACATTCAACAACAGCTTCCATTGATACAGGGACCTTCGTGCAGGGTAGTGTCTCAGAGACCTTTAACAGTGTTGTGACCATAGGCACCATTGAAGAGGAAGGTCTTAATGCGTGATCTGACACACACCTTTACAAATGAGTGTGTGGGAAAAGATCCTCTTACACTCTCAAGGTTCATTTCGTAACAGGCGTTCTAATCAGCAGGATGTAGAAATTGAAATGGTCTGAGCTGGGTCAAAAGGGTGGAGCAATTATTTTGTAAGTGACTAAGAGTACCTCAGATTTTTCTCTCTTGTAACACTTTCCATTGTCTGCTTAATGTGCCACAAAACACACTTGAGTGGCTGTTATCCCGAGGAGTTGAGGCCAGTTCTGCGATTAGCCTGTTACAGCTCTCCCAACAGCCCAACTCTTGCTGGAGGCAAGCCCATTAAAGCAGCAATCCATTAGCAGCGGAGGCACTGGTGCAGGGAGACCTCGGACAATTCGCCAGGTGCTTGTGTGTGGTTTTAAGTCAGCCATCACGATGTCCAGACAGGAGCACGGAGCAGCCTGTCCTCTCCTGAAGGTGCTGTCTCGTGCTGAGGTACAGTTCCATGCAGTGGAGACCTATAGTGTAGTTAGAGCGCTCTCCTCGCAAGCCAGAGGACCTGGGTTTGATTCCCGGGCAGGGCAAAACCTTAGGCAAGTTTCCTTACTCCACATACCAGTGTTTACATAGCAGTATGTAGGAACCTGCCAGTTAGTTGATTGGCAGATTGCTTTTCCAAGGGTAATAATCCTTTCCAAAAAAAATGAAGAAAAAATAATTTGGCCACTCAATCCACGACTGTTTGTAGGACACTGCCACGTGCAATTGGCTTCCACGCTTCGTCCACAAAATACACAAGGCCCAAGATTCTCTGTAATAACTGAGCCAGGGAAGGGACTCTATTGTGCCCTATCTCAATGATAATCACACCGAGAATTTACGGAGCAGTTTTTTAGAGATCCCGCAGTGCCAGCTCCCCTTTAAGTTGGCCAAAGATCAAGTATCTCCGGCCTCAAACGATACAGTACTTTCTGTAGCCATGCCAATGTCCCTCCCCACAGCCCCAGAGTGAACAGTCCATTTGAACAAGGCTTGACCTTTGTCAGAGATAAAGATAATCCCTGCCATAAATTATCAGTAATAAGTGGGTCCGAACTGCGTCATCGGGTAAATCAGCAGAGCTCGGCATGTTTTCTAATCTCCAGGCTTGATACCGTGACATCGGAGATCATACAAGGTCAGGTAGTTGTCCATTTTAAGTCAACCATTAGCTCTGTGGTCACCTCGACTCAGTTCAACTATCCCATGGCCTCTTTGGCTGATATTACGTGTTTCATGGCTGATGGTGGGACACCGCTGGGTGCAAATTAGCTGACAAATTGCAGTCCCTGCATTTTACAGTATATTCCCGTGAAGCGCTTTGGGACGTCCTACTGACCTGAAAGGTGCTGTTCCAATGCTAGGATTATTAATTATTATCATGTTACCAATTTGATGTTGAAATAAGGACCGATTTTGTAGCCAAGAAATCTGCCCAGGGTATTGAGTATGCTTAGAAAGAGACATTCCCTATATAATAACAACAAAGTGCATTTATACAGCGCTTTGCACATCGGGAGGATGGTTCCAAGGTGCAGGACAATGAGGAGTCTGCACCCGAGCTGCGGGTTGGGAGCAAAGAGGGGTATAAATATATACATCCACACATACACTGTATAAATATAGCAAAGGGACCATTGAGATGTGGTAATGTCCAGCACCTGTAGTTCCAGTACAACTCACTCCTCTCTGCACCAGATACCATCTCCTTAATACTTTGTTTCTCCGTGTTTGTACTTCTGCTATATGAAATGACATGACCTTTGAGAAAGGCCTTTGCCAACTCTGGGTTATTCTGGTAAGCAGACAAAGCATTAACAGTGAGGAATGGTGAAGTGTTTGAAGCACAAATAATAATTACAGTCAAGTGTAAGTGACTCTTTTGTAGGCAAAGCGCCCTGCAAAGTGGCACAAGGAGACATGAGGTGAACGACCAATTTATCTGGAGGATTGCTGGCCAGGTCACCCGGAGATGTCTTTTCTTCTTCCATTACTGCATCAGAGTATATTCCCCCCACCTGAGCGACAGGGTATTGAGTCCTGTAGGGTATTGGTTAGAGCACTCGCCTCAAAAAGCAAGAGGACCCGGGTTCGATTCCCCAGTGGGGCAAAACCTTAATCAAGTTTCCTTACTCCACACTTCCGTTTACCTAGCAGTAAATATACGAACCTGTTTGTTAAAGTCGATTCCAGGGGTAATAATACCTAAAAACAAATCACTCAATCCACGACTGTTTATGGGACACTGCTGTGTGCAATTGGTTGCTGTGTTTCACCCACAAAATATACACTCAATTCACTTTACAATATTAGTCTGTGAAGCGCTTTGAGACGTCTCAACATGATAAGGCGCTACATCAAAATGCAAGAATTATTATTATTAATAAAATAAAATCTCTGCTCTTTCCGGACAGTAGGGGTCGTGCAAATCCTCCTCTTCCTGTATTTGACGTTACAAGGTCAACCTGCCTTTGAAACACACACGTCCGTGCTGGTTGAGCACTTCCCAGCGACGAAATAGGCTTTGCATTTCAAAGCAACGGGTCTCACAAGGATTGAGTTTTGAAACAACGCACTTTCCATGGGAGGACAGTGAACAGACACAATCACTCTGCCTCTGGGGAGGGGGTGGGCGAAAAGCTGGAATGGCTGCTGTTTTGAACAGTTTGCTCACAAGCGCACCACAAGAGACAAAAACACAAAATACCTTTCAAAAGAAAAATCTAGAGAAGCTGGAACAACATAAATTACATTTATACCAGGTTGCTCCGATATGTAAGGAGATTAAATAAATATTTTTAATCCCATCACAGGCCAGAGTTTTGATCCAAAACTCCACCGTCCATATATAGTGTACCTATAGTACATTCTTTGTGGTGGACTAAACCCAACTTTGAGTTTAATTGGGTTTAAAACATTATAACATTTCGCTCACTAAATATACAGTCAATTGACTTTATAATATTTTCTATGAAGCTCGTTGAGACATCTCGAAGACGTGATAAGGCGCTGTATCAAATTTAAGGATTATTATTATTACCAACATTACCGAAGAAATGATAGGAAGTATAAACAACACACACAAGTGAGCTACATGGAGCAGAACAGTTCTCCTCCGAGAACAACAACAAAACTTGCATTTGTAAAGCGCCTTTCACGTCGGGAGGATGTCCCAAGGCGTTGGATAGAATCACAGCCAGGAAGATACGCCTTGTCACATTTTTATAGAGGGAAAGTTAGTTTTTACTTTTATTTTGATTTTCTTGTATTTTTTTTTTGACGCAGGCTTTCAAGAGACTGTCCTCTCTCCCACCGCTTTATTCCTCTGCAGTAAAGTCGCTGGCAAATCCAGCGCTATGTTCAGAGCCACGACTCGACTCAATTTATAGTTCAGATAAACTTCCTATTCCAGCGTGCAGTCTCGATAATAACAAGTGCCATTGGATAAAGCAAACTGTTTTCAAATCTCTCAGCCATGTCATTTCAACCTCCCGCATCTCTCGTTTTTCTAGCTAGTAGCCGTATTCTGGAAGCAGTCCAGCACTAACAGGGCGTAGTGGGTGGCTTGGGTTGACCTGAGAGTCAGAGTTTGACGTGGAATCTCCTCCCTGCCTCCCATCCAAGCAACGGGAGCCATCAACAGTGACTTGCGTAAATAGGTACAACTCTCCCCCACTCCCCCCCACCCCCACACCATCACTGCAAACAGACGTCTCAACGATGCGATATCAAATGCAAGCATTATTATTACTGCTTAAGAAATGCCTGCGAGGGAGATGTGTCTGGCGGAGGAGCCTGTACTGATACAGGTCCTGGCTCAACATAGTGTTCTTCGTAGCCTAAATGTGAAGCGACTGCACAAACAGGAGTTTGGAGACAGGAGGCACTTCAAACAATCCCACTGCGGGCAGTTGGGTTAGCAGGCTGGTGCAGAAAGTCGAGTGCGGGGACGAGTATTCCTGCAATGTTTATTGGGGAATCAGAGGGGAATAATCAGATATCAGTCAGGTTATCTGCAGTGCCAACTGGGGAAAGGAAAGGTTAGTTTCTGAACAGGCCTCAGCTCTTGTTGAAGCCTCTCGTGTAATCCAGGAACATTTCTGGTTCACGTACCGAGTGTTTGGGTCACGTTCGTCCTCCCCATCTCGGACCTAACGCATTTCCCAAATTAATCCTCCCAAATAATAATCATCCTTGCATTTGATTATAGCACCTTATCACATCGCTGAGACATCTCAAAGCGCTTGAGTGACCAAATTATTATTTTAATTTATTTTCCTTAACTTCCCGCTACAATTCCATAGTCCTGCGAGGAAGAGGCGAGGCTTATATTCTTTAGCTCAGATTCTCTAATCAAGCTGGCAGTGTCACAGAAAAATTGTTAAGCGTGAAGTATTGTTCTTACTGCTTACTCCAGCGGTTGTGTCTTCTCCTGTTAAAACCTTTGTCTGGGCTCTTGAACAGGCATCAATTATTAAGCAAACAATCATGGTAAACCATACATTTGATTCCCTTGACTGCAGAACAACAGGGTCATTAAACTAGAATAATCTGATACTTAAGTGGCGTAATGTGCTTACCAAACCTCCCAGGGCTTTGTGTCCATTCAAGAAATAGGAGAACATACTCCTTGTGCAATAACCCACAAAACTAACTGAGCCACTGGATAAACTCTTTACACTGTTTAGAAGTGGCACACTGGTATGCGCAATTGGCTGCCGTGTTTGGCCCACAAAATATACAGTCCAAATCACTTTGTATGGAGCCTTTCATGTCCCAAGGCATTGGAATTTAAACGTATTATCAAAGTATACAGTCAATTCACTTTACAGTGTATCCAGTGAAGCGCTTCGAGACGTCTCAACGACGTGATAAGGCGCTAAATCAATTGCAAGGACTATTATGTATTATTAAGAGGCAACAATTGAATTATCAATGGGAACCCAATTGGTTTACTTGGGCCCCACCATGGAACCTCCTGAATTTATACCACGCGTGTTCGGAGGTTGTGCAATCGGTTTTGGTTATCTAAACAACTGAAGAAAAATTCGATATACTTTCCATTCATACATTGGAATGTATTGTATAAATATTGTATAAAATAAGGCAGAATTAGGAAAGAAAACATTTCGAGCGGGGGAAAAGTTTGGGATACAAAAATCTCTAGGGAGAGAGGAGAGGAAAACACACACAGAGAGAAGCCTGTGGAATTCTACAAGTGAACTACTGTTAGTTTTTTGCCCTGTGTAGATCACAAGGTCACCCCAGAAAAGTTTAGAGGGCAAATGAGGTACCTTGTCTTAGTGCTTAAAGGTGTACAGTTCACATTCTGTAAATACCATTTCCTAGCAACATGAACCCACTGACACAGGTGAACAGATACATCGGTTCGTACAGTACAATAAAAGGATCTCATTCTAGAATATTCTGTATTTTGCATTATGAAAATAAAAGGTCTATACATCAACGTATATGAATCATGTCAATTTATGTTATTCTTCTAAAGTCAGCTTTGGCTTTTCTTTTTAGTTATTTATAAATTTATAGAAAATATTAAACATCTAACAAAATAAATAAACAGATCGTCTAAATCATAATTCGCTAATGATCGTGTTCGAAAAGCTTTTTTTTTCCTTCTTAAACATTTGCTCCTAGATTTTTGTTTATATATATATATATATATTTATATATTTTTAAAAATTCCTTCTTCAATCGATGAACCAGGATCAGTAGTGCTTGGGGGTGTGTGTTGGGGGATTGAAGGAGTGTTGCCTTCTGTATTGTTGCCTCTCACTGGGCACTGAGATTTCCTCCGTGATAGTCTTGTGATTCTTTGCGTAGCTCCTTGTAAAAGCCTCTGACTCAAGACATAAAAAAAGGGCGAGATTGAGAGAAGCATGCCAGATACACAGTATGCTCTGGACAGACAGTGTAAGGAACCCCAAAAAAAAAACAGGTACAAATAATTTTTTTCTTAAACAAAGTGTGGCAGATTTCTGCAGTAGCCGAGTGTGAGTTAGACCTTTCCTCTCCCCCCATCCACACCCACCTCTCGCTCTTCTCTTGAATCCTGAGCCATTGTTGTCGTGGGTCAGGATGAATGCAGCATCAAGCCCAGTCCGTGTGTGTGTATGTGTGTGTGTGTGTATATATATATATGCGTGTGCGTTATGTGTAGGTGCGTGTGTGTCTTCAGAAAAGCTAATTCCACGACGTGTAGTCAAGTGGAGTGCAGGGTTGACGTGTAGAAACATCCCTTCTGTTCAGGTCTACTCTTCCTGGCATTGGCTTGTGCCACAAAAGCGAGGAACCCCGACAAACAGCGTCTAACAGACGAGAGGCTGCTCTCTCCGACAATAAAAACACAAATCAGCAGCCGGTCACTGTTCGGGCGGAAACCGGAGTGTCCTTAGCTTTGCTTCGTCTAGACTTTTCCAATACTTAAAGTTAATTCCGAGTTGCTGCATCAGGTTAGGCAGGTCGGCAAACACTAGAGGGTTTAAAAAGAAAAAGAAAAATTAAGCGGGGAACAAAAAGAGCAGTGAAAATATCCTTTCAAATTCACGTCGAGTAAAACGGGGGGGAAAAGCCTTCGAGTTTGGGTACGATACATTTCAACATCAATTCCTGTTGAGTTTGGTTTATAATTTTTTTAAAAAAAAATTGTTTGGGCTCAGTTGGTAGCACTCTGACCTCGAATCTGTTACTAAAAGAATGCTAGTAATTAGCATGAAAATTCAGGAACAATCTAAATTTTAGACAAATGCCGTGTTCACTGCAGACCGCAATTACACGCCTTAAAAAAAAGTGTTCCCGCAGAGAGAAAAATAGAGACAACTCACCATCCCAGGCATCAAACATGTCGGTTATAAAATAATCGACAAAGGAAATCTGTGACTTGGGGATACTGCAGGTGTTTCGATCAAATACCGGCATCACCACAGGCAGCCCCTTCTTTGTCTCTTCCTCAGTCTGTGAAGGAGAGAAAGATTTAGAGCGCTGACAACAGAGAGGAACCGTGTTCCTCCGATCTTTATCTCTAATAAAGTGTCCGAGGCCCAAAATTCCTTGCGCTGTTGGGGAAAAAACAGGCTTGCAAAGTCAGTGAGTTTAAGAAGTTCCCAAAATTCTGCACAGTGTTACTTACATTTTAATACTACGGTCGTAAAGCTAAGACCATGAGAAAAGTTGGGCTTATGATCTCTTAAGAGTGGCACTGAACATATACAGTCTGTGCAAATCATCATAGGTTCTTTGTCCTCCTTGTAATACGCTATACTCCTTCTTCCAATTTTGCACACACAGCAGTCATTCAGGGCTACACAACCCGAAAAACACTGCCAATAAATTACTGTTGAAAAGTGTTCCGATGGTACAGGAGATTTGGGAAAATAGATGAACGACCAAGAAAACTTCACCAAGAGGTCCAGAGGATTCTGTTCCGCGGTGAGTGATGGATAATGGCTCTGGTGGAACAATGTGTTTGTAAAGAGGAAGGGCAGAAGATAAAAAGGATCAGTTAACTACTGCCCTCTTTGCCCCCCACTCCCCAGCATTTTTTACCTGAGCAAAGTATTCCTCTGAAATACGTCCGGCCCATTCGATGCAGAGCTCCAGTGGTCGGCAGGGATTGGAGATATCAGCGCATTTGATTAACATGCGTTTGATCAGGATTCGGGTCTCAGGAGAGGTCAGGATGCTGCTGGAGGATTCTCCGTCGATGCTTCCATTCTGTAACCAGAGCCTGAATCATTAGCGATTCCCTACACCAGGGTGGTCCAACTGCCTGTCCCCAGCCCGCATCTGGCCCCGGGAGATGATTTAATCCAGCCCGCAAACCATTGCGCACGCACAGCAGTGGCCCACAGTCAGTCACGGGTTGAGTGACCAAATTAGAATGAATATTATTATTATAATATAATAATATAATATTTTTTATTAAAAAAGAAAAATTTAAGGGCTTATTCTTCCTGGAAAGTCATCTGCCAATCGACTAACAACCTGGTTCCTACTTGCTGCCAGGTAGACGGAGGTGAAAATAAAAGTTAAAAAGAAAACAACAAGAGGACCCTAGAGACGGGCTCCGTAACCGTGAGGAGAGATGTTTTAAGAGGATGTGGAATGTCAATGGTGCAAGAGAACGGAGGTGACAAGAGAGCACCCGACACTCCAGCCATTTGGAAATTTCGAGCATTTTCCTACAAAATGGACCTTTTCCATTCTGTTCAACAGACCCCGAGAAAGCAGCAGATTCCTCGCTGCGGTGTGAAAGCTCCAAGCTCCCTGTAACATTCTGCTGCTGTCAACCACAGGACACTCCGCAAGTTAACCCTTTTGTTCCCTGCTCGGCGATTACAGAATAATAATAATAATAATAATCACATGACAATAATCCTTGCATTTGATGCAGCGACTTATCGGGTCTCAAAACGCTTCACAGGGTAATATTGTGAAGTGTAGTGACTGCGTGTCTTGTGGCCAAAACGCATTGGCGCCAAGTGAAAGGGGGAAAATGGATTAATATTTGTAAAGAAATATTTAAATAGAATAAATCAATCCACCGCTGTCTGTGGGACGCTGCAGTACGCAACTGACTGCCGTGTTTTGCTCACACAGTACAGTCAATTTGTTTTACAATATATTCTATGAAGCGCTGTGAGGCATTTCAATGATGCGATAAGGGTAAACGGCGGCAGCCAACTGCACCCAGCAATGTCCCACAAAAGGTCGTGGATTGAGTGACCAAATTATTATTACTTTTGAAGGGATTATTATCCGCAGAAATCGATCCACCAATCGACTAACAACCGTGTTCCTACTTACTGCTAGTTAAACAGAGGAGTATAGAGTAAGGAACCTTGCCTTTGGTTTCACCCTGGCCGGGAATCGAAGCTGGGTCCTCTCGCTTGCGAGGTGAGTGCGCTAAGCACTACGCTGCGGGACTCAAATAAGAGCCAGGTTTTATACCTTTCCCAGCCCAAAGAGAGCAACACTAGACATTGCAGCAAACCCTGCCAGCAGTGTTGTTACTTCACAGCCAGACAGAGGATTGTGCTGGGGACAGGGTTAATCTGGTGGATTGTGCAACACCACAGGAACTCAATTAATCCAGAATCCTCTTAGAAAAATTATAAAACTACCACAGCCTGACCTAGGGTGACTGCGGGGCAGTGAAGTTATGTGGTGTGTGTGTGTGTGTACGTGCATTCGCTCGAAAAGCTCTCTGTCCTGTGGTGAGCCCATTAATGCCAGCTTCTCTTTTTATATATATATATAGTCAGACATCAGGGAGAGCAGACGTCGTATCCAGCCCAGCTTACCCCAGACAGGTTCTCCTCCAGTGCTGCCAAGGGCTTGTTGATGCTGTTGACAAACTTGTTGACGTGCTCAAAGTGCTTCGTCATCTCCGTGGCCAGAACCATGTCGATGATGGCCTGACGGAGAGTCCGATAGTCGTTCCTGCAACAGGAGGTATTAGGGTCAGAATCCTTGCAGTTGATACAGCACCTTATCGGGTGGTCCAGACGTCTAAGAGGGCTCCGCGGAACATTCTGTCAAGTGGATCAACTGTATATTTTGTGGGCGAAACTCAGCAGTCAATTGCGTCCCCGCAAACGGTCGTGGGTTGAGTCGCCATCTCGAACTCATTACTAATGATTGCAGTGCGTATCTGTAGAACAGAATCGATAAAGCGCCTTTCACGGTGCGGAGGACAGCTCAAGGTGAGGTGCTCTACACCGCTGGGCTACCGAGGTAGTGGGGAGATGGACGCTGAAGGCAGCACGGGCTGAGATCCTCGCGCGTGTCCCCGGGGAGGAGGTGGGGGGGTGGGGGGGAAGTCACTTACCTCTCCATGTTTTTGAAGATGTTGCACTTCTCGTCGCGGGCGGTGAGTTGGAAAGCCAGGGCCGAGTGGTGACTCTCCAGCACTGCCGTGTCGTTGTAGAGCAAGGCCAGCTCGCTGCCCGCGTTGCACAGGAAGGAGTTGGTCCTGCCCGGGTGATCTACGTCATGCACGGTCGCAGCGATGAGGGCAGCCACCTCGTCCATCTGGTCCAGACTTTGCTGCAGCGGCGAGGAGAGAGGAACAGCGGTGAGGAGAGGGGAACATCAGTGAGGAACTTCACAGCACATCAGTGCTAAGGGAACTTAAATAATCTGCCCAACTTTAATCAGACCAATAACTTCCACGTCAATGGTTTTCTGAGTATTCCCATGTACAGAAATATTGTCTCATCTCATTTCTAATCAACTTAGCTCTAATTTTAAGCCTTGGTCCCCTTGTTTTGGATTTCTCTACCAAAGGGATGATGGTTCTCTCGATTTAAAAAAAACACCCAATTTGTTTCGCCCACAAATTACACTGTTAATCCACTTTGCAATATATTCCGTGAAGTGCTTTGCGACGCCTCAATGATGTGATAAGAGGCTATATCAAATGCAAGGATTATTATTATTATAAAAACGCTCAGTCGCACTATCCCTCAACTTCCTCAGCTCTAGAGAACATAACCCAAGTATACCAGCCTCTTATCATAGCCAAGACTCTTCACCCAGGTCTATGAATGTCTTCTCATCTTCGATAAGAGATGCCCAACTCACCTTCACTCTTTCTTTACAAAGGAAATAAGCCGTAGCGTGCAGCACATCTGCGGCGTGGGTGGAGTTGTGGTAGGAGTTGGTGGAGTGGTAGTTTGCTTCGATGACATGCAGCCAGGACCTCAGTGTTGATTCGGGACAGTTTAAAAATTCACAGACTCCGAACCGGCCAAATGTTTTCAGCCCCAGATAGAGCAGCGGCCTGGGATCAAAAGCAAACAACACGTCAGTGTCAGGTTTTGCAACGAGGGAAGGGTGGGGGGGGAAACTTGGCTAAAGGAGATACACCTCGAATCAAGTTCCTCTTGCTTTGAGAGGAGAGCGCACCAACCAATACGCTACAGGACTCCACCGTCCTTCTCTCCGCAGCGTTCCCCCCCACCCCCCCCCCTCTCTCCCCATGCTGATTGTCTGCATTATTAACCTCACCTTTTGTTTGTCACACTCTCCAACTTAAATATGTCAAATTCCCAAGCTTCTTCATTTTCCATCGACTGGGATATCTTGGGTGGGATGTCGAGCAGCGAGGCAGGATTATGTAACTGACAGTGAACATCTGAGAAGTAAAGCAAAAGAAATAAATAAACTAAAGCGCAATAACCCTTATGGTCAGTAAGTTGTGTTTTATCAATGATATTCAGACCAAAATGCTTTCTTTTTAATAAAACAAATGACTTTTGAATAAAATTAAAATCGCAGCTGATAATTAAAATCGCTTTCAATGGTTGTTGGCTGTAGGTGAAGGAACTTGTTGAGTGCCAAGATCGTAGAAGCTAAGAAAACAACAGCAAATAAAACAAGCCACTTACTTTTCGAGAAGATGTACTCGTTTCCACTTAGCCTCCTCATGCCATCCTGCTCACAGAGAGAGAAATATACAGTCAGTTCACTTTACGCTAAAATTCTGTGAAGTGCTTTGAGACGTCTCGAAGACATAAGGCGCTATATCAAATGTAAGGATTATTATTATTTTGATTTCAGCAACTCTTTCTTTTCAAAAAAAAAAGGAAAAAACAATCTCAACTTACGGTCATCAGCCCACCCACAAGGTCGCTCATGTGGGGTCATCATCCTTGTTTCCTAACTGGGGAGAATAGAGCTCCGTGGTCCGTAAGATTTCCAGCACCCGGTCCAACGCATCAGCCACCAGGTCTGAGCTGCTCTCTTGTGCTGCGTTTATGATGTTTATTACCTTAAAAACAGAGAGAGAGATTTTTTTTTGGGGGGTGGTGGTGTGGGGGTGTTGACACAGGAATCCATAGCGTACGATAAATGCTTTGAGTCTGAACTGCCTGCACTGTGCTGGCTTTGGAGAAAGTGTCCACATAGTAACGCCCAGCAGAATTGGGTCTGGAGAATGATCGGGAGCACAATCCCCGGCTGATTTTTCGTTGCCTGATCCAGGGGAGGATAATCCCCCCCCCCCACACCCCACCCCACTCCAAATCTATCTACAGTTCGCCTGTTTAAGGGGAGGTGAGGGCTGCACGTCAACCATCTTTGCCACTGGCACGGAGTTTTATAGGGGACCAAACCCCCAACCGAAGAATATTTTCATCTGCCGTCTTTGTGGGTGGGGAAGCTGAACAATTGTATCATCCTGGCTGAGGTGAAGATGAGTGGGATTACACCGTTAACCCCTAACCACGCCCCCCCACCCCCATACCTCACATTGAGCCCATTCCTTAAGCCGCTGACTAAATGATTCGAACTCAACACAAGAAAAAAAGCTACTTTGAAAATCAAGCACGCTAAAAAAGGTTATGTTATTTTCGGGGTGGAATGTTAATTCAGGTCACTCTGTCCCGAAAGTGCGTCTGTCTACCTTTGTAATAGGAGCTTCAATGGTCATGGAATGTATTCTGGCAATGGAGGATCGCCTTGGCTGGGAGCTCGCTGTGTGACAAAGAAAAATACGTTTTAGATTCAGTCTCGAAATAACCTGGAGAAAGACATAACAAATGCAGGTTACCGCAACATACTTCTCGTTACCCAGGGAATGTCATTGTGCTTCTCGGCTTCCTCATTAATCATAATAATCCTTGCATTTGATATCGCGTCGTTGAGACGTCTCAAAGGGCTTCACAGAATATACGGTAAAGTGGATTGACTGTGTATTTTCTGGGCGAAACGCGGTAGCCGAGTGCGCACAGCAGCGTTCCCACAAACAGTCAAGGATTGAGTGACCAATTTTTTTTTTTTGAGGGATTATTACCCCAGGAAAGTGATCCGCCGATCGACTAACAACCGGGTTCCTACTTACAGCTAGGCAAACAGAGGCTTGTGGAGTAAGGAAACCTGCCTAAGGTTTCTTGTCCTGCCCGGGAATCGAACCCAGGTTTCTTGCCCTGCCCGGGAACCGAACCCAGGTCCTCTCGCTTGCGAGGTGAGCGTGCTAACCCCTACGCTATGGGACTCCCAAGTATTGAATCCTGTTAAATGCAGCAAATGAGACCCATCAATTTTAATGGCCGAATAACAGTCAAATCAAACAGCAGCGATTGGGCAATTCACATCTTGAAGCACCTTACACAATGAGATTAATCAGAAATTAAGTGCAGATGCGACAGTCAAATACTAAGCCGAGGAAATATTCAATGAACTAAAATTTCTGGGAAGCATTAGATGCTTTCAATATTCAGTAGATTTCTGTAATAATAATTATAATAAAAATAATTGCTTCAGTTTTGGGCTAAGCTTCACTGCTTAAATTCCTAGGACGTGCTATAGTTGTGATTGATTTCCCCACCCCCCCCCACCCCAACCCCCCCCATTTCCCAAGGTCACTTTTGACAAACATGTGTGCAGACAGACGAACAGTTTGGCAGCAGAGGTTCTTGTGACCTTGCACCACTTAACATACCGTCGCTCCCCCGTGACGTATTGGATCGGACATCGGAACTTTTCCTTCGGTCTTTGTATCTGCAAGTGGGGAGGTCTGCGAGGAAAGCAATGAGCCACGATTAAACAAACTAGGTTTGGAGTATCCTTTCTATGCCCAAATCTGCTCTCCCTCCCCGCGCCCCCATCTCCGTCCACGCCACCCACAATATTTGTAACCTCTTGAGGAGTCTGGGTTGGTCCAGCCTATTAATCACTTGGCTATCTTCCATTCCCTCACCTTCGAGACCTATCTCAAGACCCTCCTCTTCGACCGTGCTTTTGATCTCCCTGCTTCCCCCCCCCCACTGCCCTCCACCCCGACCCCCAGCTCGGGTCCGTAACTCTGTCTGTCCAGCGCCTTGGGACGTCCTCCCGACGTGAAAAGTCGCTGTACACACGTAACTTTGTTGTTTATGGTTTTTTGTTGTAACACTTGAACCTAGAATGTAACTAGCAGACACTCTCATAGTAATGTTTGCTGGACTCCAGTAAGTAAATCGGTAAACGGCTCCCTAATCGGGTTAACGTCAGTATTGAAATGTTCCTCTCCTTTGTTTACCATTGGAAGGTGACAAACTGGGCAACAGAGATGAAATACTGTACCTGTTTGAGACTCTGCTTGAACCCGGTCACCTAACTGAGCCGACAGAAACACACAAAGAGACAACGTCAATAAAAAGATCATCAAACGGGGAGGGAAAGGAGCAAAAAGGGGAAGGCACGAGTGTGGAGATGGAGCATGCTAAACACACACACCTTGCTTTCGTTATATGGCCTCTTAATGGACACATAGTGTCTAATTTTCCTGTTGAGAAAAGGAGAATCAATTAAAATCCAATTTCACTCTGTAAACAGACCTAGCGCACCGTGGGAGTATCTTGACCGGCACAAATCTTTGCTTATCGCTTCCCGAGCGCTATCTAGTATTCAAAGTGAAACAAACAGACCTTAAAAGCGTTTGAGGCAGGTCAACAAAGCGGTCGCACAATACAGGGGCATGTTCACACGGGAGAGAGGATCACAGGTCAATCCCGCAATCGTTCTCCTTCAGAGAGGCAACACAGACACGATGGGTGGAGTGAGCTGGGAACTTTGCGGAGAGAGACGCGAAGGCTCGAGCAAAACGGGATCACCCTCCACTCAATGCGATAACCAACACAACAGCTCTTGCCCACAAGGGTCGAGGGAGATAGGGACGAGGGAAAGATGTCAATCTACTCACCCTCCTTGTCCGATGACAGGAGTTATCTTGACATTTTGTTGGACGCTGTCCCCGTTTCTCTTTTTGGCGTAGTACATTCCTTGCCATTCCTGAAAGACCATCAGCAGCTTTTTAGAGTTCACCCAACGCAAGGACCACCGAGCAACTTGCCAGTGTCTCAACCAAAGAGAGGACCAGAGAGAGAGAGAGAGAGGGGTAGCTCGCGGGTCTGCAGGAACAGCCTCAGACACCAAGAAACTAAGTGACCGGGTGGTTTCTGTTTGCCTGATTTATACGTGTGATCTTGGGACTGCGCAGTTAAATCATTAGGCAAGTAAAGTACAATGACAAAATCAGGACTTGTCCTGTGGGAAAATTCAACATTTTTTTTTTAGAATTAACTACTTAATAAAACACCTTGAAACGAGTTGCCATGTCAGTCACGACAGCCCAAAGCAGCAGCAGTTGGGGTGCCTGTCACATCCCACGAACAGCAATAAGACAAATTAGTAATTTTTCTTTCAAGTGAAACCTGAATTCTGATGAAACTCCAGTCCCTTAAATACCAAACCCGTTTAATAATATTAATAAAAGTAACCCTTAGATTTGATATAGCGCCTTATCACGTCATTAGGGCATCTCAAAGCGCTTCACAGATTATCCTGTAAAGTGAATTGACTGTATACTTTAGTAATACGTTTAAATTCCAGTACAAATGTAATTTATTGCTGTTGTTAAATGTGAAAGATTTCTTCCTCCCAACCCCCCACCCTTCCCATAAGAAACCAGATAAGATTTGAACAAAACCAAAGCTCTTTCAATTGCGCTCCCCTCACCTTTCCTATCTTAATGCAGGAGTTGATGGTGTCTAGAAGATCAGCTTTATTTTTGTCACTTTTAGGCACTTCTGTTAGGGCTTTACCCATCAGCTCATCTCGCTTGTAGCCCATCATGGTCTCAAATGTAGGATTCACATACTGTGTGCAGAACACAAGAGAAAAAATAATAATATAATAATCCTTGCATTTGACACAAGCGCCTTATCATGTCATTGAGACATCTCAATCGCAGCCCATGTCCTCTGGTTCTACTGTTCGGGACAACTATTGTTTCCGTGTCAAAACATCAGCCGAAACCTGAGCCAACAAGTCTGAGACGCTTCCCTGGACAATTAGAGGAAAGGCTGATGATGTGTGCAACGCAACATCAAACCCTCATTAAGACACACTGCAAAAGCACCCCCTGGCCCGCCTGCCAGTGACTATTGGACGAAGGAATTTCCCTGAGACGCTGACTGAATATACTGCCGTCCCACATGCAATACTTCTGTGTCCAGTGCATGGAGAGTTACCTCATACATTTATCACGCGTTAAGTATTGCATAACCTTGGATCAAGTATAACTTTAGTCTGGGGCAGTTAAAGGTCATTGGAACTCGATGGGAATACAGGATTTTCAGGCAGTTTAAAAAACACGGCTCTGACACTCCTTTAAACTTCTCAAGCAAATCCAACCTCTTAAGCAGAGAAACTTTCACACAACCTCCCCCTCACTCACCCCGCTTCCACCCCCTTCCACCTTTGCCAGCTTGATCCCTTCAGTAACTTGGAAGAAACCCACACAGACAAAAGCTGCAGGCTGGGTGCATAACAGGCCTGACCAGAGATTAGCACCAAAGCCAACCTGCAAGCCACGCAAGCGTTTCAAAACCACCACAGACAAAAATGTAAACCATCGCTTAATCAGAGCTGTTTACAGCTACAAGTCGAAATTCACGGTTGAAAGGAATTCAATCAGTTGCATCCTCCCTCTCTGAAATCAACAAGTTCCACTGGAATAAATGCTGCAGCTGCTTTTAACTTAAACACACACACACACACACACACACAACACACTGTCTGGTTCAAAGAACGCGAGTGTTCTGACTAATTCACAGAACTCCCTTCATTGGATGGATGTGAAGGGAATTCAATATTTGAGTTTGAGGTGTTTACTGTATGTTATAGATGTGTAAAGTGTATTTATTACCGGGTGCAGAGATGTCACACAATTGAGTGTTTAGCTCACAAAAAATGAATAGAGCAATTATATACTGTACTTTGTGTGAATTTTTTTTCGGGGGGGGGGAGAAACATTTTTCAAAGCTTCAACTCTTGGAACAAACCAAGGAAGACAATGTGGAAACATGAACAGCAATATTGTTCAGCTGTCAACAAGCACAGGTGTGATAAGACTGTGTTTCACACACACACACACATAATGCCCTTCAACCTCAACAAACCTGAATAATATTATCTTCGCTCGTAATCTCGATCAATTCTTGACTTTGCTCTAATGCAGTGAAGATTGAATTGCAGGCCCTGGAGAATGGAGGAAACAACAAAAAATGACATTTATGAAGCGTAACTAAATAAGAAACAAATAATCCTTATGTTTGACACTGCGCCTTCCTGTCGGGAGGACATCTCAAAGCACTTCACAGGCTTTACGTAAAGTGGAGTGACTGTGTATTTTGTGGGGGAATACGTCAGCCAGTTTTGTGCACATCAATGTCCCACAAACAGCAATAAAGTGGTGGGATTGTTGACACAGGACATCGGGAGAAACTCCCTTCTCTTTTGAAACAGTGCCATGGGATCTTTACCGTCTACTTGAACAGACAGACAGTTTAACATCGTTATCCAAGGAACGGCACCTCTGACAATGCAGCAAACCCGCAGCAGCCCACTGCAGAGTCAACCTAGACTGTACGAGTTCCAAGTCCCGACATACCTCAGCTTGAACTGTGCACGCACTTCCCCAAACTCCAACTGCAGTAGTTCATTGTAGCAGGCAATAATGCTGGGGTTTTCTATGTACCGCTGTGGAGAGAAGCAGATCACGTCATAGCGGAACAACAGTTTAGCGGCCCAAGTAATACTCTCATAACAGTACTGCTCGCCAAACATAGAGTTTTGCACAGGAGGCAACTATTCGGCCCATTATGCCTGGTCCGGTTCTCTGAAAGCGCTATTTGTTCAGTCCCACTCCCCTGCTCATTCCCCGCCACCGTTTGACTATATTTGCATTTCAAATAGTTGTCCAATTCCCTTGTAAAGGCTATTATGAATTTTTTAGTAAGGTATTCCACGTCCTGTCATTATTGGGCCACTATAAGCTAGGATGGACGTTGAGACAGACGGTACAGCACCTGCTCCCAGGACTTCACCAACACCAAACTACTGGTACAAACTAGTGTCTCGCTCTCACATTCCCTGGGCTCCTGATGAGCTGCTCCACCCCACAGCACGGGCGAAAGGGAAAACTAACTCATCAACTTCAAGTTTCATTGTCCATCTCAAGACCTATCCCATTGACTGCACTTTCAGTCATCTTTTCCCTACCCACCTCCTTTAATTGCTATCCCATGTGACTAATCTGCTTCACGGACCACCTTCAAACCTGACAGAAACTTACCCGAGTGAAGCCTGCAGCCATCAGTGGCATCACGGAGCTCTCCTCCTGATCCCCTTGCCTTTAAGATATAAGAATAGCACGGATAATCTTTGAAAAATTCTCACTTCTTTTTAAAACAAGTCTCGTTAAAGTAAAAAGATGAAGGTTCGATATGCCTCTTATTATAGAGGGGTTCTTTTATTCACAAAAATCAGGGGATTTTCAAGTCTTTTTTTCTCCTGTCCAAAAGAAAAGAAGAAAAATCATGGGGCGGGGAACACAAAAGTAACTTCAGTGTTACTTATAGAACAAAAATTCTGTCTGTCTGTCTATTTCGGCACACATTATGTCATAAAAGACGCCTTTCTGCAATGCTGGTTACACAATCACCCAGGAGAGGGGAAGAGGAAAGAAACTGGCAAAGTAAGCTTCTAAAAAAGTCATATTCTGCTCAGAAAGTAAAATACTTACGGTCGTTTTGCAACAGCGACGATTGCAGCATTTTCTGAAGGAGTCGTTGCTCTAATGCACCTGGAAATAATTTGACACTTAGCCACGATTGACACTTAATATTTATCCTTACATTTGATACAGCACCCGTAATGTCAAAGCATAGCAAAGTGCTTCACTGGGAATTTCTGTAAAGCATGGCATCTCATTTGCAAGCAAGCGCGACAGCAAATTAGTGCAGAGCAAGGTCCCACACACATCCAACAATTTATTCTGGAGGATTGTTGGCCAGGAGACCGGAAGAAAAGTCATTCTCTTTTTGAATAGCATCATGAGATCTTATCGTCCACCTGAACAGACAGACGGGACCTCAGTTCAACATCTCAAACCTCTGACAGTGCAGCGTTCCCCCAGCATTGCACTGGAGTGTAGGCCTGGTCCATGTGAGGTTGGAACGCGCACAATCCTCTAGCCCATGCCGGGCCATTAAACGGTTGTATTTCTCAGAAACTTCTGTGAAATCTAATACTGTATCCACTTTACTCGCACGTCACAGATGCTCCAGGATAAGGAAAAGTCTTGGAACCGAGCAGAGTGGGAGCATTCACTTCATTCCACGAACAGGAGCCCAAATGTGCTTACAGCCATATATTCTTGATGAACTTGTATAATTCTGATAATGATCCAACTGGCACGAGTCCAATGATAAATTCAAAGAGTCAGAGTGAAGGTTGTTGCAGTAATGATGCCTGCTCCGAGACCATAAACAAGGGATACATATAGAAATGCGCCGATTACAATGTGGACTCGTGGGGACTCACCAACGCAGCGCTGCTCAATATTATACATGATACCCGATTGGCACCCAGTCCAACTGGAATGCCAACCAACCACTGAGTCATAGAATCAAGGCCATTCGGTCCATCCTGCCTGTGCCGGTTCTTTGAAAGAGCTATCCAACAAGTCCCACTCCCCCATTCTTCCCCCATAGCACTGCACATTTTTTTTCTTTTCAAGTACCTATCCAATTCCCAGCAAGAGTCACTTGCCGAGGTTCAATACAACAGGAGAGTGAAAACTTCAGAAATGAAAATAAACTGGACATTGCAAAGTACTTTTCTTGGACTGCGTGCAAAAATATTTGTGAAAGAGCATTTCCATTTGCACTGAGATTGGACTCAGGTATGGCCAGCAGTAATCTCGCTCTCTCACTCTTTTTTTTTGTACAAGACTGACCAGAAAATCATAATAATTTTCTGGAACTGGAACTGCCTTCCTCACTCCCTTCGCCTCGCTCCCTCCCTTCCCATTTTCAGGTCTCTGCTGAAGACCTTTCTTTTCGACCGCGCTTTTGGTCACCTTCCCCCTCCCACCACCCCCCCACCGGCTCAGCCCCGGGATCCGTTACGGTGAAGCGCTCTGAGATGCCATCCGGTGTGGAGGGCGCTATATAAATCCAAGCTGTTATTGTTATATGATAATAATCCTTGCGTTTGATATAGCGCCTTATCACGTCTTCGAGACTGTAAAGTGAATTGACCGTATATTATGTGGGCAAAATGCGGCAGCCAAAATGTAATGTCCCACAAAGAGTCGTGGATTGAGTGACCAAATTAATATTAATTTTATTTATTTATTACCCCTGGAAAAGCAATCAACTAATCAATCGGATTCCTACTTTCTGCTAGGTAAACAGAGGCATGTGGAGTAAGGGAACTTGCCTAAGGTTTCGCTCCGCTCAGGTATCTAACACAGGTCCTTTCCAATCGGAATTGCTCTGACCAACATGCTACAGGACTTTGAAGCAGTTGCGATACGACCATCTTTACAGCACAGCCAAGAGCAACTCACCGACACAGAGCTTCAGCATCGAAATATCTGGAATGTCTATGATCAATGACGATGATCTCGTGATTCTTGTCTAAAAAACACTCCAGAGCAGCCTCAGGGGTCCGTGCAGCGTTGCACTTGTAGCCGGCCTTATCACAAGCCCACCAGAACCCGTTACTCTGGCTATCTTCTTTGGCAAACACTAGAAGTACCTGATATGGGGAAGAGGGCAGAAAAGAATCAATAATAAGATGCACATTTCTAAAAACATGTATTCCTTTTTAAACCAGGCAAAATAATATCCTATAATCCTTGCATTTGTTATAGCGATTTATCACATCGTTGAGACGTCTCAAAGCGCTATATCAAAATGCAAGGATTATAGGGTTATTCTTTTTTCGAATAGTGCCGTGGGACCTTTAACAGCCACCTGAACAGGCAGACGGGACCTTGGTGTAACATCTTATCCAAAAATGGACATTGTTTTCAATCCCAGTGTTTCCTGAGTCATCCGAACACCTTCAAAAGATCTGATCAACATGGCGCTAAACTTATGAATCACGCCCAAATCTGGTGCAGTTTGCCCCAAATTCCATGTTCAACTGCTGGAGTCAACAGCATAGGTTACGGTTTGGATGGATTCCAAAGTTTCCTCGCATGGCTTGCGATCAAAATAGAGCAATGCCTCTTTTGATGCAAAATCCAACCCAAGCTGACTGAAGCCAGTTTGCAGCCTGGCCCGATCAAGGCAGACAAGTGGGTTGGCAGGAAGCAGCAGATAGGATCTTGTGTGGGAAAAAACACACCATCCATAATAGATAAATAAAATGCAAAGTCGAACTTTGATCAAAACAGAACTGGTTTATCAAGAACATTTGACCAGAACAACCTTTTTTTTGCTAATCGGGGAATAAAATTATGATGTTGAACCCTGACCCACAGTCCATTTAATCAGTAAACACACTCAAAGCAACACCAAATATTGTGTGCAAAAGTCATTAAATGTGTAAACCACGCTGTTAAATATCACCCAAATAGGTTTTGATAAAACATTTAAGAAGGAAGAGTTTCTTTGGCAATTGAACTGAAATGCTGAGCATGGGTAAATAACTTGTGACCAAAACATTCCCTCTTCAGACAAAGAAAGTTTGATCCGGGTGTAAATGTTGTTTATAATGCCGGGAGCTGGCAGTGTCCGATATGTAATGGACAAATATTCAAAGGGATCCATACAATGGACACTAACTAGAGTAAACACATTCACTGCAACGTGTATGATGTTGACGTGATTAAGTCAATGTTAAACAGCTTTACAAACACAAAACATTAGCAGTTTATAGTAAAAGATCATTAATAATAATCCTTGCATGTGTTATAGCAGCTTCTTACGTCTTGGAGACATCTCAAAGCGCTTCACAGAATATACTGTAAAGTGAATTTACTATATATTTTGTGGGTGAAATGCGGCAGTCAATTGCACACAGCAGCGTCCCCACAAACAGTCATAGATTCAGTGACTACATTTTAAAAAATGTTTTGAAGGGATTATTACCCCCAGAAATTAGAGACCAATTTATTCCACTCGCTCAATTAAGGAAGAAAAGTCTCTTGAGGGCAGGGCAGCCTATTACCATGGGGTCAATCAACATTTTAAGACTTAAAACAATTTAAGGTGTTTTTGTTTTGGCGGGGGTGGCGGAGGGGGGAGGAAAGGAGTTAAAATGACCTTTCTCCTTTTGAATTTGGATTTGCTTTGGATTTCACCTCTACCCACATACATCTGCAGCCAAGAAAGCTAATAAAGCAGAACTTCTTTGTGACTATTAATACAACTGGTGCCGACCGACATGCCATGCAAACGATTAGGAATGGCATGAACGGGATGAATCTCAAACAGGGGAAATGAACGCCAGCGTGAGCAGTTGGGCGATGCTCCTCTACAATTCCTCTGCCAGTTCTTCTGGTGCATTGGGCGTATAAACTAAAGCGCCGTTCACAAGCGATTATAAACTAAGACAAATTGTAGTTTGGCCCAAAGTTGAAATTAATCAGAGAATGTCTACTAAACAGCAGCTTCGATTCAATAAAACAACGGCCCCGAGGAAAAGCTCTGAATTGAGTCATCATCAAACCATACACATGCACGGGGAATGCAGACTAGAGTATGAGAAGTTTATGAATGATTACCTTCCACCCATGTGTTTACTGGGCAATCAGTGATCGCAGAATTAGTTAATCGCGATGGCGTGTGGAGAATGAGATGGGGGGAGTCAGGCTCCAGTGCTGCCTCTGGCTTACCTGAATAGGATCCTGATGGATCTTCATTGGTCCAAACTGAACCTCGGTCACTCCTCCCTGCAAAAAGGAATAACCAGAGAGAACACTCAGTGAATGACCTTTTGTAGCTTGGATCAAAACTTTAACAGATGTGGCACTCCATCCTTTCACCTCCACTAAACCCACACTGTGGCCAGGGCTTCTCAGCAAGTCGTATTTCTTTGAAGATGGCATGACCAAGGCATGTGGTTCAACATTTTCCCCACCGGCTCAATATCTAGATTCATAACTATTCAAAACCTGTACAGCAAAGTTTACTAGCTGCATACAACCTAAGGCAACTTATAACCCAAGGCAAATAAAATTGGTCACTCGCTCCATGGCTGTTTGTGGGACACTGCTGTGAGCAACTGGCTGCCGCGTTTCACCCACAAAATACACAGTCAATCCACTTTACCATATATCCTGTGAAGCTCTCTGAGTCGTCTCAACAACGTGATAAGGCGCTATATATTTTATATATATATATATCTCACAAACACAAGGATTCTAATTCTTCCCTTCAAAATGCAGTCACTGATACTTCTATTTACAGATAAACACCCTCATTTTTTTATCCTTTCTGTCATATTCTGTGCAACAATGTGAAAAAGTATCACTGTAACGAAGCTGTTCAATGCCTGTTAAGGCACGAAAGCAGTTTCCCCCTCTGTTCTGAAAGCACCGACTTGGGTAAAGTCTCCGCTCCACTCACACGAGCCTCCCCCCTGCTAATACCTCATTCCTATATACGTGATTATTCCTATGTGAGCCCAGACAGCTGGTGTTGGCTCAGTATGCAACGATAAAGAGCACCATAACTGAGCCCATTGCGCTGCTCATGAGAATTCAACACAGCAACACTTTGCCAGCCGGTCACTCCTGCTGGGATCGTGGTTGGGAGCTTGGCTGGTTAATTCTTCCTCCATAAACCTCGGATGAATTGTACAGTCAATTATGGATCGCCAAACTAACTCAATAGACACCAGGAAACAATGCTTGCTTCCAGGTTCATATGGGTCAGTTTCATAACAACCAGTGCCTTCACTAACCATGCCCTGGATGAAAAAATAGTCCAGTAAAGGGGGGCGGGGAGGAACAGAGAGAGAGAGAGAGAGTGAGTGAGAGAGAAAGGAGGCAAACATGAGAGTCAGAAAAATTAGCAAGAATAAAGAGAAAGTGTTCAGTTCACCCACACAAAATTAGATTACGTGGACAGAGATTCCTTGTGATGACAACAGGTCAACTGAGTCTTTCTTTTAAAAGGCTTAATGTACTAATACCCACCCTCTCTGAGCCTCTTAGCAGAACATCACACAAGGATTGGTGTCCATAGCAACCTAACCCTCTTTAGATCTCCTAAAGGAGGAATGCCCAAGTACTACAAAGGGAAAAAAACTGAGCAATAAACAGTGATAATGAAAACATTACTGAATCCACACCCGTTAATAACAGCCCAGATGTTTTTTTAATATACTATTTTTGATGAACGTTTTCACCTATTCCATCATTATTGGAGCTATGGGTCTGTGTTCTTTCTTGTTCTACCCCCATCTCCCACCAACTCAAGTCATCTTGACGTTGAGTGTTGGTAGTACTGCCACCTATGGGCCAAATGCAAAATGGGCCTCATAAAAGTGCTTAAAAATCCAGTTATCAAAAGGAAAAATAAGAGTTTCTCCCTGTGTCTTGGCCAACAATTCTCCGCATTAGTAAATCATTCACTTTCAGCCTATTTGTAGGACCTTGTGTGCAAAAGATGAATTCGCATTTGACTCCAAATAAAGTGTCACTACACTTGACAATTACTGAGACGTACAAGCCTAGTATAGCCTATTATAGTCAGAAGCAATGTTTAATGCAAAGAGATGGGGGAAGGGTAGCAATGAGAATGAGAACATTATTAAAAACATAAACCAAACTAGTTTCTGGAAATGAAAATGTTCAGGGTGATGAGATGCGACAAAAGTGTTGAGAGAATCTTTTGAGAAGCTGATTGGGGCAGTCAATGGTCAAAATACAAAACACAGGAGGCGTCAAAAATAACACAATATTTATGCCAACAGTGAGTTTAACATTTGGCTTTTCTTTTAAGAAACCGCGTTAGCTCACAAGGAACCCCTATTCCAGGCTGATGGTGCGCAACTGATATGAGCCCACATTGAATTGCAAAATCATTAACAGTCTGGCTGCCAAGAGAGAGAGAGAGAGAGAGAGAGCAGCCTAGAAATAATTGTATAGCAGGAGCTTTTTTTTTCACTTCACGATGCCAAACACAATCATTTACAAGGACTGGCTTTGAAGGAACAACAACAACAGCAACAACTGCCCCTCATGCAGGTAGCACCCCAGAGAGATGAGAGATGAGAAAAGCATAGGCTGACGTGTGTGCCAGAACACTTCCAATGGCTCAAAATTGATAGCCTTGAGAACAGTTACCAGGACCCAAATCAACCGGGCTGAATTACCAGCCACCGGAGTCTGCAGTAAGAGTCTGAATGAATCCATGTCATTCACATTCCACCGTCACCATGGTTTGAGTAACATTTACAGTGGGAATATATCCAATTCCTTGCAATAACTAGTTTTACATCTACTATAGCACCAAATTAAAGGGCTTACAGATTGTACGGACTGGAGAAGAGGGGTGGTGGGGGGGTGGGGGTGGGGGGGAGTAAGAGAGAGAAATTCCACCTCTCAGTGGTTTGTAGAGTCACTGACACCCACAGAAAAACCACCTCATTATTTCCAAACACTTCTGAGACTGCGTCCCAAACATGCCAAGGGATATGGGCAGTCACACACACGCACACACACGTATTACTGTGTCAGGTCCATCCTCTGAATAAATATTATACCCAATGGTGCTGTAACACGTTTCCTCAATGTGCACTCTCAGAATAAGCGTGCAAGCACGTGCAAGGAATCTCATTCTCACAGGGAGCAGCAGGTGACGATGGCTCAGCACTGGGCACACACTATTTATTCAGCCACGCTGCTTTTAACCCTCAGTTTCCTTCCTGCCTGTTTGGGTGCATCCGGTTTCTGTGGATCTCCGCGGGACAAAACTCTCCACACAACCAGAGAAATGCCATCCAACACAGACTGAAAAAAACCCCACAGGAAACTCAATGACACTGTTGCATGAGCAGACGTCAATAGGAGAGAGAGAGAGAGAGAGAGAGAGAAAAAAGTACTGCCTTGTTGCAGCATTGCTGTCTGGCATGCTTGGAATCCGAGGAAGTCTAGACTCCCCCCTCCCCACCCACCATCTACACATGGAGATTAGAAAAAAAATGTTTTATACAGATTAGATGGAATATGCAATTCAACTGGTATTAAAATGGAATCCTTCAATTCTTTTTAAAAGAGGAGATAATAATACTAATCCTTGCATTTGATGTAGCCCCTTATCATGTCAATGAGACGTCTCAAAGTGCTTCACAGAATATGTTGTAAAGTGGATTCACTGTGTTTTATAGGCGAAACATGACAGACAATTGCACACATAGATAGACTGGATAGGGAGAGAGATATATCAATCGTTATAGAGAAGAGAACCGTAGAACAGGAGAGTTGAGATCAGATCAAACCTGGTGCCTTATGTGGAGAAAAAACACTGGTGCAGAGTCGATGGGCCAAACTGTCTGGCTCTGTGTGTTGTAACGTTCTATGGTTCTATTACGCAAGAGATTTTCAAAGTATTTTGCGAGAGTCTTATCTACACGGACGTCGTCAGTCTGCTCACTCACTGCCCTGACTCACCCACAGTCGTCAAGCGCCCATCTGAGGCACTGAACACGTACAGAACACATTACCAGAAACAAAGCGGCCTACAAGATAGACCTACCTCAAAGGCAGGGAGCATTACCACGGACAAAAATAAATAAGATGGATAGATAAAACATTCAAACTGGACTGAACCGCAACAGAAAGCTGGTAAAGATTACAGTCACATGGGGGGGGGGGGGAAAGGGGAGACGGGGTGGGACAGACTAACTAGAGAGAGAACAATGTTTAATCAGAGCGGATTCATAAACATAAAAAAAACGGATTTAAAAAGCAGCTTCGGCAAAATGTAGCGGAGACAAGATAAGGAAGAGGAGTCTTTTGGGCACTGGGTTCTCAGTGTGCGAGTTTAGTACAGTGCAGGTAGTGCAACAGACTAGTTCCACTACTGGCTGAGCACTGCCAGGTACATTGGGGAGGTGAATATTAGCACAAAACACTGAAACAACCTCGCTTGAAAGAAAACCAAGACTTTACCATCGGTGAACACTCTTAGACTCCCCCCTGGGTCCGGCTTTTCCCGCCGTCTTTCTGAAGTGCTCGGAGACGTTCATCCTACGCGAAAGGCTTATTATATAAGTGCAAGTTGTTGTGGGAATAAAATAATGCCAGCAGCTTCTCTGGCTGCTGTGTTTCCCAATCGCTTTACAGGTTCTCCTTTTGCTGCCAGTCAGCTGGTCAGGATTTACCACACGGCCTCATGTCACGGCTGTAAATAGCTACACTCCCTAATCCCAATGATGAATGACGTGAGCTCGGGGCTTGTAATATATAATAGGGAGCCATAGTGTGCTTCTGGCCGGCAGCTTTACACTTGGGATTGGGGGGTGGGAGGCATGGGGGAGGGGGGGGGGGGGGGGAGGGTGAGAGAGAGGAAATGAGAGATAAAACAATGTCCAGGAGCTTTTCCTAATGCAGACTTCCTGCCCTTTATCTTTTTGGAGCGGTTCAACATTTTGGTGACGTGTGCAATGCACGTTGCAATTTCCTCTGCAGCTTTCTGGCTGTGTGACAGAGGAAGCTGTACCCTATAGATCCATTGGGAGCAGGTGAACTGGGGAGATAACATGGAGAAAAGAGGGAAAGAGGGACTGGCTGAACATAGGAAACATAGGAACAGGAGGAAGCCATTCAGCCCCTCGAGCCTGTGCCACTGTTCTATTCGATCACGGCTGATCGGTACCTCAACTCCAAATTTTATAATAGTAGTAAATAATAATAACGTAAATAATAATAAGATACACCCCTCT